TACATATTTCATTTCCACTCCAACTGGTTGTTTAGTGGACAAGAAAGAGCCGCGACCAGCGAGAAAATGCGGAAAAACAAAAACCTGGAGCAGTCGGGGAATTGGGATCTGGGGCTCCGGAGATCGGAGAACGGGGATCTCTGCGGGCGCCTCCCAAATTGGCCTGTCACTGGTCACGCACCAGGAAGGCGGAATGGGGGCGTGGCCGAGCTTGTTTTTTTCTGGCCTTTTTTTATGCAAAACATTTTACAGTTTTTAACATCTTGCTCAAGTTTTTCAGACATAATTTCAGACATAACACTTTACATATGTTTGTTTTAACATTTTACAACTTTTTTCCGCTCACATTTTGAACATAATTTCTTCGTTTGTTGTTTTCCCAGCTTGTATTAATTTGTAAGAACTCACATTTGGTGTTATTCAAATGTCGTAAACTTTCACTGGGAAACTTTTACCTAATCGGCTTTAATTTTTGGGGCTCTCCTTTGGTGGGCCAGGCCACTCGATTGGACAATGCTTTTCGATGGGGAACTGCCCATACTTTACACGTTATTAGTCTAATTTAATCAAATGAAGGCATTCTCAATAGCCGCATTCATTTTTCATTAATGAATTGGACCCAGATGGAAGCCTGTAGATACGAAACCTCAAGACTGGAAACGGTAGCGTTGATAAATCTAATTTATCCCAGGGAGAAAGCCAGAATCCCCACACGTGTGCAATGCCCAGAAGAAAAATTCCGATCCAAAGTGGTCGTGTCAAATCCCATCAGCTCAAAGAGATCTTATTCCGGAGATATTGAATAGTTTTCCATTATGATTTGCCATTCCGGAGATATTGCAACATTTCCGATTATGATTCGCCATATGCAGCAAAATGGATTTTAGTGGGCGTTTTTGGGTAAACAACCCCTGGATTCCTCCTCCTGTCAACGCGATTGTAATTTATTCTTTTGCGCATTTGCTTTTATCGGAAATTGGCCAATAAGGTATTCGGTTGCAGGATATCCTCTCCCTCCCTAAACCGAAAACCGAAAAATGCATTTCGATTGCCCAAGAAAAAGACACACAAAAGGGCGAGAGGGTTCGAGGTTTAGCCAACTGTGAATTGAATTTGGCACTCAAGCGATTGTTTGTGGATGGGTGCTAATTTGAGATGCGAATACCGGAATAGATACGGATTGCAATTTCTCCAGCCGAGCATGAAATGCCGCAGATTTAGGGTGAGAACCGGCCCTGCTTTTCCATCGCGCGCATAAGTAGCTCGCTTTTCCCATCAATAAAAGCAATCACCTGCAAATGCTAAATAGATCGGCTTATCGTACCGCCCACGGTTTGATTTATCGCCGTTTATCTAAGCAAGAAGTGCAGGCAGCAGGCGGCACAGTCTCTGGCCAAAGATTTATTGCCCGGCCGAACGACAACTCAATAAAGTGCCACTAATTGGGCTTTAATAGACAGCGACTGTTAACTCTTCATTGTCATCTGGATCCGGGGACATATGCAGCGAATCGAGCGGAGACTCCATTGATTGATATGCTCGCCTCCAATTCAAATCAAATTGTCAAAATACGCTGCCCACGATCATAAATTAGGCTGGCCACAAAATACAACTGAATTCCACAAAAAACCACAAAGACGGCGTGGCACAGTAGTGGCATCGGGGATAAAGCCTCGGGTAGATATTCCCAGAGATATTTTTTACGACCATTGATGGCTGGCATACCATATTATGTTAAAAACCCACAAAAGTGATCGTAAATTTTCATAAAATGTCACGCCAAAACGTCACACTTCTTTGTAAGCATAATTAAAAATATAATAAAAGGCAATTCCATACATATATGCATGGATTTATTTAAATATCTGGCTATATCATTTTTTGTCAACTTCAACTTTTATTGACGGTCTGCACATAAATTTCGACATTACCTTTGCTGTCGTCTGGTGGAAAATTAAGGCCTCATTTGCATAAATCGAGCGCCTGGCCCTTTAACTTGTATCGAAAGTCCCAGCCTTTAATCGATGGCAAGAAAAAGAACCGATCCCCACATAACTCAATCGAGCACCTTCCGAAACTCCATTTTGACAGGCATATTTTTTGACATTTTAATTATCGTCAGAGCGTGACATCCACGGAGTCGATTTTATTATTGTGGTTTTCGGGGACCTCTCTCCCCACACTCGAATGACTACGTGCTTAATATGTGGGTAATTTAAAGCAGCTCAGAAGCGTGCCAGGAATTTGGATACATTAATTTTGGGAGTTCGAACTTTGGGTTTCCAATTTTGGTTCAATGAACTGCACTCAACGCCTGAGTACGCCTGCTGATTGATCAATAAAAAATCATTTGATTATCAATATGCACTTATTTCACACCTCAATCGATTCCGTATTGTTATTGTTGCGCCTGCAATAACACACTTAATAATGAGCTGAGCAAATCGAAAAGATTTCTATGAGTATTACTGATGAAAAAATGGATTTGAGTTGAAAAGGAGAAAAATGCCTATACGCATATTGTTAATAGACTGTTTATTAACCAAACTAAATATTATACTAACTATAATAAAATGAACTAAACTAATGAATTCAAAAAAACAGAGGCGAAAACAGCAATAGGACCAATTGTAATATACCCATAAAAAGAAAATGTTTAACCATTCAAGAAATTCAAAGAACCAAAAAAAGAAAAAAAGTAAATGCTTTCAAGTAGCATAGGCCCCGGCGAGATTCGAACTCACGATCTCCTGTTTACTAGACAGGCGCTTTAACCAACTAAGCCACGGCGCCGCTTGGTGCGCTTGTGTCGGAGTTCACAGACAAGCGGGTTACTATCGTGCGCTCTCACTGCTTTTTGGTGTTCTCTGAGCCAAAATTAGCACACTGCGGGAAAAAGAGAGAGATGTACTTATACGCATGGCCAGAGGAAACTTTCCCACAAGAATAAATATAAATTATTCTTTTTAACAATTTAATACGCTAAAAGTTGTCGCCGTCCAAACGCACACATGCACATACATATGTATAACCGAAAAGATAAAAAGAAGAAAAATTACTTTTGTAAACTCGAGCAAAACAAATCGTTTTTTAAATGAGCCTCGGAGAAAAAGTCACACACCACGACAAACACGACGCAAGTGAAATGCAACACCACATGGCATTCAAAGTGAAAGGCTGTCACTGGGTCCACTTCCCCTTCCCCCTTCGCCCCTCAAAGACCCCACCCACTGCCCCACTGGGCGACCTCTTCGATTTTAACAAATGAACTGACGCGCTTAGCATGTCATTTGTTTAATTTTTAGGACTTACAAAAGAGTTGGAGAAGCGGAAAATTGACTGAAATCTACTAAAAGGCAATTGCCAAAGACTGAAGAAAAATGGAACAATTACTAATGCACTGCAAAGATTTTTGTTGAGTTTTCAGTCAGTTGGAAATTTGAATTAAAATTTTGTCAAAAATTACTAAGGTCAAATAGGTATTCTGAATTAACTTTTTAAATAGAGTATTATAAAAGGGTAGGAAAAGGAAAATCACATTACTAGGTTATATATCATATTATCATACCTATTATACACTTTTGTATGTGTATTAACATGCTATTAAGATGAATAAGAAAAAGTATAAACACTTAAGTTAATAAATTTTGAAACGCTTTTAATTTCTTTTGGCGTGGGACTGTGGGAAATTGCTGTGGGAGGGAAATAGTAAATTCATGGGGCAAACGAGAACGAAATCGGGAAGGGGAACTTATAGGGTAAGCAATGGTGTTACAGCCTCTTGTTGTTTTTTTTTCTTGTTTCGATTACACTATTTATGCGTTTTTCCTTTTCGCTGAAACTTTACAATTTCCGTATTTGAAAGGGGGATGGGCGATTGATGCCCTGTAAATAAAAACGCATGCCTTTCGAATAGTCAGTTGTTTATAGACGAAGTTGCAACCGAAGTTGCAGTCGCAATAAAAGCTGAATATACGGGGTAAGCATGTGGGCCATAAATTGCCCACCTATCGACAGCAATATTTTATGATATTTTTGCGTATGTTTATCCGCTGGCATACTTTTTGAGGGAGATGAGATAATTATACAAGTAGTGAAGGGGCATTAAATAACCAGCATACCATGCACTTTTAATGTCAAGCATTTCAGTACATCTGCCATTAAGGATCCATAAATGAGGTATTGTTGGGGATTTAATTTCTTGTTCATATCATATCGTTAGGGAATCAATTTTTCCCTTACTCAAGTGGCCACTCAGTGACTCCCTTGAAATTTCCGCCCGGCAAACACTGCCATAATCTCTAATAATAATTTTTATTGGGAAGAGCCATTTCCTTGCCACAGCAGCTGGCTAAGATTTCAGTTTTCAATTGCTCCCGTAACAAGCTGCGTATTTATAAGTCGATGTTTATTATGCACAAAGTGCATAAGGTTCATTGAACGAGTGCGTTGCCTCAAAGTGCTGACACACTTTGGCCAGCCAACAACTGCCAACTGACAAAGAGCCAGGCGGTCTCTCCAGCCTCCACGGACCACACAAGTGGTTTGACCTTAAACGGTGCTGAACTTGAATTTGGTGTGTCTGCCTGCGTCTTTAATGTTCGATTCTCAAGTGCAAGGCGGCAATTCCAATTAACCTCGCCATAAGTCATTTCCGCCATAATCTCACTTAAGGCATCTTCGATTCGGTACAGTTGACAAATTTGCTCGCCAATGGAATCTATGATTTAGGGGGTTTCCTGCTGAGTTTGCTTACCTTGTTATTTTTTATTATTTTTTTTATTCGTTTCTCAAGAGCGGGTTAACTTACTCTTCTTGGCTGATGGCTCCCCAGGTGTCGGATATGTAATTAACCACTTTCGGTCGGGCCTTTTGGGTTCTCGGTGGTTTTGACATCCTGACACCTGCGCCCAGATAGTGGGTCACACCGTAATCAGGTCTCCTCTCCTGCCACCTTTGATTGATAATTAATTAATGTGCTTTCTCCGTTTCGTTTGCAGCGATTCTCCAGCGCTCCACTGTGGATGTGGGACGCATCAAGCTGCAGAGCGTGGCCACTTGCCTCTACCTCTGCATGGACGCGTGTGGTGTTCCCTACGGCTCGGTAAGTAAGCTTTCAATAATACTACATCTCCAAAAAATATTAATTAATGATAAAGGAAAATTTGAAGTCTGTGAGGTTCATAAAACCTATATAAAAGATAGGTCATTCTAAGTAAGATATTAACTTGAATGAGTTCAACAAATGTATTATTCGTTTGGAAAAAACTTGTACCTCTTAATAATAAAAGCTCAAGTTGTATTTTAAGAGGATTTTATTATTTATTCTTTAATTACAAAATATTTAAATTGATTATAATGACCTCAAAAAAGAACGTTTATTTATTTTCCTATTTTAAATTGCTCATTCGAATAGTTCTCTTTCACAAATTTAGACAGTTTTAAAATCAGTATTTTCTGAACTGCGAAATCGATTTCGAATAACAATTTGCCGCTCTCAGATAACTATATTTCGTATTTGGATCGACCTATCTGGTCCATTGTTGGCACCCCTCAAGCGAAAACAAAAACAAACAAAGGCCTGTTAAAAGATTGAGGTAAACCGAAAATACCGAAAGAACCCTCAAATAAATGAAAGAGTCACCGAAGGGCTCGGGCAATAAATAAAAAATTAAATGTGAACAAAAACAAAGCAACACGATCAGCAGCAACAAAGCGTTTCCTTTCTCGAATCCCTTTTTGCCCCGGAATGTGTCCTTTGGCGCGGTCAGGTCGTCAAGTGGCAACTGATGTCGGTTCGCTTGGGTTGCAAGTCCTTGGATTTCGTCCCTTGTCCCATTTCCCTTCCCTTCTCCTCTCCTCAAAACTAAGGCGACACTTTATCCCGCTGCGTTGCGAGGTCCACGATCCTCGGGATGCCTTTTTTGGGCTGGCGCCATGGCAAACGCTTCGATTGCGTCGGACATTAGTTTTTAGTTCTAGTCGAATTCACTTCATTTCTTTCCGCCGTCGCGGGCACTTTGACCTTTCCGTAGCAGAAATAGCACCGAGTGTGCCAATTCTGTCAGCCGGGCCGTTTTGTATCTCGCGGATACACAGATACTCTGCTGATTGATGCGCTTCACCAGCGGCCACTTTGTAGGCGGCCCTTTGAAGGCGCCGCATGCCTATAACATAGCCGACATATCTCTAAGTTGGTCAAGTGGGCGGTTATATTGGGCCGACTTGTTTATTTTGGCGACCAGGGCGTCCGGTGCTCACAGCACGAGATTTGAGATCTTAGATCTTCTTTCTGAGTTCTAAGATCTGAGAAATGGCCACGGTATAAACCTAACAACTAGTTATGGGCCTTGATTTACTGGTGCGTTTAATACTTTTCGTCGGTGCGATATAAATAGCGGCGTGCCTTGTGACTGAATTCCTCACTTTTCACCATAATAATTTAAGCGTTTTTGTCTTGTGACCAACGAGGCAGGTGATTTCGGGTCTTGGCTAATTGCGAAGAAAAAGTAAAGTCCCCAAAACGTTTGCCAATTCATAAATTCAAACCAAAACCCAAAACGGCTCGTGAGTCAGCGTCTCAACCAATTAAATTGTCGTAGCCATAAATGTGAGCACATTACGGTTTGCTTATTAATTTGCATAATTTGTTCTCCGGGGAGCGTAGGACCGCCCGCAGAGCCAACGAACTTGGGTTTGGTCAATTAATGCCGAGCGGGGTCCAATGAATATGTTGCATCATTATCATGCTTATTGTCCTGTTCAGGGGCGATAAATGCGGAACGCGTCACGCAGGTTTTTATTCTTTTTTTTTCTTTTTTCGTTATTTAGCTATGTTTCCTAAGTGGTTCCGTTTGTAGGTGTTCCCTGTAATCTGAACAACAGGTCGACCCTTTCTACGCTCGCCTGGCGCCACTCGATAAGCTCCGATGGAGGGATCACGCAGGGCTAATGGTTCTCGGTATCTGGAGTCCCTCTTTCCTCTGATTTTCTACTTATCTAGGTACAACTTCATTTCCCTTTGGTGTCTGCCAATTTTCACTTGCAAGCCATTAAAGACTAAAAATAGAGGAAAATGCCTGGAAATACGAATCATAAAAGAGGAAAGGGGGAGGAGCGAGGGAGGGGGAGTTCTGGGGCCACTTTGTTGTCACATATGTCAAAAATTTGTCTCGACTTGACTCGACCCTGGGGAATGGCGTCAACATACAACATACTCCTGGCCTGGCCCTCACCCATTTGACGGCTCATTGCGACTCGCCTTTCGCCTGATTAATTTCTAAATTTAATCGGCGACATTTTCCGTTGCGAGCAATCAGGCAGGGAATTGCCTGGCTGCCGTTTTATTTACGAAACAATTTTAATTGCCTGACAAGCGAATTAATTCAGTGTTGTTAATTGAATTTGATCTGCAGTTGTCTACCAGTCGGCGGATCCAAAAGAGCAACGAAAATCCTTTCACCGCACTCGATTTACATTTTTTACCTAGCCCCCAAATCCTAAATGGGTAATTCTTTCAACTGGCCATTTGGTCCTTTTGTTCGGCTGTCATGAGGTGTTCATAAAGTAGAAATGTTTATGGCCAGTACGCCACAAGAAGTCGAGGGCCAACACTATCTCGATGGCCAACACCGATAGGAGCACATCCTGTGATAATGAGCGCATTTATCCAACTGATTTCATTGCTGATAGACAAAAGAAACAGACGCCGCCCCTGGACAGCAAATACCCAAGAAGTTTTATTTTGAAATGTGGGAAATGCGGTGGTACACTATTGGGATACGATTCTGAAGAAGCTGAGAAAATGTCTGGGAGACAATTCTTTGAAGTAGCCTAAATGGTTATTTTCAAAAAAATACCTAAAGAGTTTTCTATTTACTTGACATGGCTACCGGTGAATGCCTTAAATGGGTTTTTACTACTGTTTTTTATTGTATTTGTATATAAACTGTTAAATGATTTGATACAAAATAAATATTTTGGCAGTCTTATAAAACTTAAAGAAGAATCAATATTAAAAAGAGCAAAAATCCCATATAAATATAAAGTTTATTGTCAGGTTATTTGTACTTAATTAGCTGTTCAGTCTATTCTAACTATACCCAATAGTTAACCCCTGTCGCCAGTTTCTATGCCAAATCATTTAATCATAGCCCTCTGTTGTTGCAGAAAGACTTCACTGACGACTGCGTCTTCAACGAGAACATGGGTCTGCAGAACTACAACACGTACTCCTCCACTTACCACTCGCACGCGCGGCGGGTCTTCTACTTGGCTCTGAACGGGAGCGGGCAGCCGAGGCGCACCCAGATCCCCGCCAGCCGATCGCTGGGCAAGCTGAGCACCTACACGAACGCCATCACGGAGACGGTGCCGCAGGAGCGGGTCGAGCAGCTGATCGCCAAGAATTTTGGGGCCAATCGCGTCAAGCACGGCGTGCGGCAACTCTGTGATACGGGCAAGCCGCTGATCGAGCTGATCGACTTGGCCAGGTTTAAGGGGCCACCTCAATGCAGTGGCAACAACAATAGTGGCAGCAGCAGCACTAGCAGCAGTAGCAGCAGTAGCAGCAGCAGCAGCAGCAGCAGCAACAGCAGTAGCAGCAGCAACAGCAGCAGCAGCAGTAGCAGTAGTAAAAGTAGTTACAGTAGCAGTAGTTACGTTCCTGTGCCTGCGATCGGCAGCCTGAGTAGTATTAGTAACAGTAGTCAAAGCGAGAGCGGCCATATTAGCAGTAGCGTTAGCAGTAGCAGTAGCAGTAGCAATAACAGTAGCAGTAGCAACAAGCCCAACAAGAAGAAGAAGCCGCGCTGCAAGCCGCACGAGCAGGAGGACACCCACAATTGCCAGAAGCGCGGTGGAACGGGAGCGAGTGCCATGCGGAAACTGGGTCCCAAGGCTCAGCGATGCAAGGATTTGCGCGAGAAGGCGGCGGCCGAGAAGCGAGCGCCACCGAATTGTGGCAAGAAGAATGGAGCCAAGAGGAACCCAGTCGAGGCAGCCAAGGCAGTGCAGCAAAGGCCCAAGGGCAGCATCCAGTCGGGTGGCAAGAGGAACAAAGGAAATAAATCCGGAAAGCAGCGGTTGAATGGTGGCAAGAAGCACCAGCAACAGCAGCAGCTGCAACACCAGGCGAAGTCCGTTTCCGGTGGCAAGCGGAAGCACAGGAAAATGGAAGTGAGCAGCTCCACCTCCACCTCCACAATGGCCACCAGCCTGGCCACGCCCCCCGAAATCCATTGGGAGAGCAGTTCCCCCCTGCCCGCCTTCGCGCTCAGCGAAACCAGCGATCGAGTGGAGCGCAATGTGCGCATGAGCAGCAGCGAGGACGAGCAGGATCGGGATCAGGATCAGGAGGAGGAGCTGGCGGAGGAGGAGGGCGACGGCGATGGGGGATCCCTGGAGGATGCCAGCTACGAGGACGCCAGCTCCGAAGCTCAAGGACGCAGCGGTGCAGCCGGCGACGATTCGCTCTACTACGATTTGTGAGTTTCCCATTAAGAAAATTCCTAGCTAACTCTTCATCTATTTCTCACAAACAAACGATAATCAAGTAGAGATTTTCTAAATTTATACCAATAACTTGTTTTTTAATTGGCAATAACTTTTAATATACTTTATGGTTTGGAAGTTCAATATTTCTAAATTTTATCTAAAACTATTGAATATTTTCCTTTTGGCATTAACATCGATTGGATTTTTCCATAACCTTGAATATCTATAGAATTAAAAAGTATTTTCAAAATTTATATCTCATATTTCGTAATTTTTGGTTTATTTTTATTTGGTTGTTGCGTTTTATTTTATTTCATCACATGTTTCCAAATTTTATAAAAATCTGTGTGAGATTTATAAAAAAAGAGAAGAAAAATCCGAAAGTTGCTGTAAAAAGTCCGGCTTGAGTATGCGAAAGATATTGTAATTGCAAGTTTCCACAACACATCTACACACGATCAGACACCAACAGACATCCACCAAGATACACAGCACATCCAGCACCAGATCCCATCATATATATCCCATCTGCCAGTGTGTACATACTTGATATATCACCATATATACCATACACCCAATATACCTACGACTGTGGTTCACTAAAGTATTTTTGATGCAGCGGACGTTTGTCCCCCCGGCGATGATCGAGGTCAATGCCAGCCCCTCTAAAGACGATGAATATCAATGTATTACGACGGAGTCTCGAGTATTTTATAAGAACCTCTCAGCCAACAATTTGGACTACCAATCACCATCGAAATGTATAATAAACGCACGCCCATCCAATCAGATAGATGTAAAATCGAACCCATAACCTTACGCAACGCGAATGACCCAAAGAGTCTATTGAAATACTTGAGTCTCTGTGGCGGAACTTTCACGTTCGGTTGACGATAAAAAAATACTCAAAAATACGACCACAGCGATAAGTCTACCAGAAACTAAATGAAAACTTGCAAAGCGCTTTCCCAATATTGTAAACGAGTGAAGCGGTGAAAATTCGAATATGTCGAGGGAATCCATTTGTACATAGATCGCGGTTTAGTCGTAAGATATAATTTCTTGTCTCTGTATTGTCGAACCTCGCTGCCTCTCAGTGCGTAAATCTAAGCTCTGTAAATCAGTTTTAAATGACGATTTCCCCAAGGCAAATCAAGCCAACGACACATCGAAAATAACTATTATAAATTGAATAACTGAAAAAAAGGAATGAAAAACTCACAAATTGTATTTTTAACTACAACTACTTATGAAACCAACATGTAATACTAATTTATTTGATCAACGAGAGATAAGCGTGAAATTATAGTTTGTAGCGTCTACGATTGAGTTATTTATTTATTTGCAAATATTTATTTATAAACTATTTTTAAGACGACTAGGCACTAGACTAACATAACTTTCCAGATAAGTGAGTAAATGATCGATGAAAACAGCATGAGAAAAACGCGAAAAAAACTAAACTAAAAAATAAAATTAAAAATACATTAATATCAAAACGAGAATGTCTTTTAGTGAATATGGTAAGAGGAGTAGTCCTTGTCAAAGGTTTATGTCCAACGTACTGGTTGTTCTGCATGAATTTAAATATTTTCGTCATTTTGCACGTTTTCCGCGTTTATCAAATAAATTTACAAAATTGTCACAATTCATTTGTTTAACTTTTGGCATGGTTTTGTGTAATGCAGTTCCTACATATCCTCTCTATAAGCTCGCAACCCGAAACCCCCTCTATAATAATCTGTGCCCTTTGCAGCCTCTTCCTGCAGCTGATCGCCTTGGCTTTGCTCCAGTCACGATTCGTCCTGTGAGAGGATCCTTCGATCTGTCGCCGAAACCTATTGGACCTCCGATCCACACAACAAAGCTAAAGTTCCTGATCTTTAAGCATAAGAGTTCTACTTCTAAACATACAAATAGCATTTAATATTTTCGTATTTATAATATTAGACTGAATCAAATATTTAAACTAGCATCGGGAAACCGAAGGCTATTAGCCCTTGCAGTGGAAACTAAAATCTTTTAAACAATTTAATAACCTACATATTTTTTTTAAAAATTGCTCCGAAACTTAGAAAGAAAATTTTGATTATTTTGATCTTATTAAAAGTCCTTATATGATAATAAGTCCTATAACTGATTTTTAAGTGTGTTTAAACATGAATGGTTTACCAAATTTTTCTATTTTTGCTATGGCAGTAATGTGCTATACCCACTGCAAGGGTAGAACAAATCCACAAACTAGGAACTAAGCGAAACCTACTGTAAATAAATTAAAATATTTTAAAACCTAATTCAGCACCCGGTAATCGTTTGATTTACTGTCAGTGCGAACCACTTAAAAGTTCGTGGCGAGGTATATTTCCCTATGCTGATTAAAGCCCGATGTCACCATTATGGCACACATTGATTAAACAGGTGAGCAGATAGAGCTGATTGCCTTTCCTGGGAGAGCAGTTCGCAGTTCGCACCTCGCTCGCCAGCTCTCATAATATGCTTACATCAGCTGACTACAGTCAAAGACCTTTTCTAGAAATGCCAGCACGTGCTGAAAGCGAGTGGATCATGTGGTCTAGAACGAGAGCGATAGAGACAGAGATCAGAGATCAGAGAGCGGTACGAACTGTATATTACAGTCAAACGTCCATAAATCTACAAATTAACTAGCTAATTTCCGTTCTACTATAGGATTTTGGTTCAATTAAGTTGTCTTGTTTTTAAAGGTCTATGAAAATAATTTTATTAGAACTAAAGTATAGATTGTCAGGAAAATTATAGGCTCAACGTTCTCATTAGAAAAAAAAATTAAATACCTTAGATACTACTGAAATTGGTAATAAAATAAACTATTGATTACTGTATAAAATACAAATTTAAATAGAAAGCACCTTAGAGATTTAAAATTTAAATATTTATTAATTTGCATTCCAATAAACAAAAATTGTAGTGACCCTATTAAATGGTTTCCGGTAAATTGCAAGCGATTGGTTCCAGTTGCAGTTGCTCCCCTGTAAAGGGATACTAGAACAAAGTTGAGTTAACTACACTCGGATTACGGCGGGGAGACCCGGTGCCCCTGTCCGTCCGCCGGAACCGCAATGGCAGAACCCAGTCGAAATCGTTCCGATTCCCCTGTGTGAGACAAGTCACGTAGGCCTTGAAATGGCGAAATTGCTGCTCGCGGTCGCTCATGTTCCCGCACTCGAGTTCATTCAAAACGCTGCTGAATTTTTCGCATGAATAGGCGAAACACGAGGCACACCAGCCCCCACAGCAGCCGAAATATTAGGGGGGAATACAAAAGTGGGGGAACGAAAACACCGAACACCGTGCGCCCACCCGAAACCGATCTAAAAAAAAAAAAAAAATAAAGAGACCGGCGAATTAAAACCCGAGAGTCCGAGTTCTGTTGGCAACATAAAACATGGATCCCCGTTCCAGGTCCCCAAATCGAAAAGCTGGCGTAAGCATAAAAGAGCGGGTGACGTCGTCGACCGCTTGTCGCACGCTCCCCACGCGCGTTATTGGAGCTTATCAGCTGCTCCGGCGATGATCGCCGCTATCAACATATGGCAGCCCCACCGGCTGAGACCCGCTATCAAAGTCAGCTGTCTGCGAGCGTTAATTGGTCGGCTGATTAAAAGAGTTCAATCGGAAGAAAGCCAGATGAGAGTCTTGGCAAAATACGATGTCCAATTGGTTGCTGTTTTTTATAGATTTTGTTTTGCTCCCGTCATCAGATTATCACCGCTATAAACTCAACCTGGAATATGCCCCCATAACTTAGATTGCATTGTTTTGTAAGGGATTTCCAACCCTGTTAGTAATTAAAAATATTGCAGGTGTATTATTATAACAACAGTAGTTCATAATTTATATTGACTTAAGCAAATAGCAATTAGGATTATGGAATTAAGACATTTTCATTTAAATGTCTATGAAGTTTAAAAAAAAACTTACAAATTATTAGGTAGCCCTTATATTTTTACAACTATAATTATAATTAATATTTTGTTTTACTATTACTAATATATTCCATTGGCTTTTGTAAGTAGCAATTTAGATTGTGAAATTTAGACGTTCTAATCATAATTTAGTAATTGGTATGACTACTGAGAATCATTTACATTGATTTTGCAAGTAGCAATTAAGGGTGCTGAATTCCTAGATGTTCTCTTTAATATTTATGCGTTAAAAACAAAAAGCTTACAATTTATTAAGTAGCTCTTATAACTCCCCAACTATTCAAATTAGGAATTATTTTTCTCTATTTAGAGTTGTATCTTTTAAAGCTTTATTTTATATAAATTCTACCTACATAATAGCAATCATTTAATTCGACTAGCTTAAACTTGTGATGATTCCAACGTTTTGTTGCTCTCATTGTAATTTTAGTTTCGCTGTTATTTGCAAAAACCGCACAGCTGAAATGACATTTAATTTTGGCAGATTGCAGCTAAACTTTTACGATTTGAGGTCTACGTGACGTATGGAGAATACACCCCGTGGCTCACATGCTGATTCACACCGATCGAATTTAGTGTGGGCCTGCCCCAAACAGCTCCTCCGTCCAATCAACTGCACCTGCTCAATGCCAAAGCCATTGCCAGTGCCAATTGGTCGAGTGGCAGATTAGATAGATTTATTAATGGACACCCACACGAATCCGGCCAACACTAATTTATTGCCTCGATATCTAACAAGCGATCACTACCATCCTGTGTGGGATGCAGACGGGAAATATAATAGTTAATAAGTCCCATTTTGGGAAAACTAAAGGGGACATATTCTAAAAGATGTTTGAGGAACAACTTAAGCACATCCCAAAAGGTGTAACCTTTTTTTTTGTACTCAAAGGAGAAAATTTTGATTACAAAAATCAGTTTTTGTTCAATCATAAATCCATGTAACAAACTTTTATTGATTTATTGATTTTAGCAACGTTGATATATGTTGTTAAATATTAAAAAGTGTTTATAGGGGAGTAGTCGAGTAAACTGTCACTTTTAACTTACGAACAGTTATGCTTGACTCAGCGAAATAAAAAAGAGAGCAGGGGAATGCATTCCGAAGTTAAATTCAATTAAACAGATTTCAATCACCCGAACATGACGGAAATGTCAGAATCTTCGCCGTAGCCGTTGATCTCCGCGTAAGTCTCCCCAAGTTTGCCCAGCCACCCTCGGCAAAGTCCGGTTTAGCTGCATTTCTAGTTCATGGCCTGCATTGCGTGAATATGATGAGTACGCTTAATTGGATTAGCTGCGATGTCTGCCGGGAAATGGAAATGGAGACGGAGACGGGCTAAAGAGCCAAAGTCACTGAGCGATTGCATAACAAGCCGGTTCGGCCAGTCGGATGGAAAAGCGTGTGAAATGGAGTTGTAACCGGCATGAGATTCTATTTACTAAATAATTGGACACTAGTGTCGCCGACGATGGGAGAGCATGTCCATCAAACTGCCAAGTGGTTTATGCAAATGCTTCCCATGCCAAAAAGAAAAAAAAAAAATTCAACTTGGAGATGCGGGGCATCGATCCCCGTACCTCTCACATGCTAAGCGAGCGCTCTACCATCTGAGCTACATCCCCTGTTGTATACATTGTGTCGTAGTTTCAATGTGAAGGCTTTGCAAGACATCGTAGTGTTGTGTAAGCAAAAAAGCTTTTTAGCATGAGCTTTCTAGTTATACCTTCGAGTTTTGCGATGAAGTAATCAAAAATTTCATATTGTTTTAAGGTATGTAAAAATTAAAACTTATTTTTTTTATAATAATTGAACACAATTTAATAAAAAAAAATATATTGTGCGTGTGAGGTACACGTGATAACAACTAAACTTATGTCGCAAGGCCTTCTAGAAAGCAGATTGTAAATGCTGAATTACAAATCAATGCTGAACTATGCACATTATATTAATCCCGTCTTGAACAAACAAATTAATAATAATTATAAGATTGAAGTAAACATTACAGTATAAACAATAAAAACTGAAAAGTGAAAGTAAACTCCGACCCAGTTCTCTCCCCTTTTTCCTAGTTTCTTTGCCAAGTTCAAAGCAGTGATGATGATGCACCGCTCTGTCAACGAAAACCATAAAACACCCAGGGTGCAACATATTTAGGCCATAACAGCACTTTCTTTAATGGGACTCGGTCCTATTTTCAGACAACCTTTCGCCTTGGGTGGCTCACGGCAAGGGCTGCAACAAATTGAAGCTATAAAAATGTCCAGAAATTGGAGTCATACCCGGGATGCTGACATTGCCGGGAAGTCGTAAAACAGTTGAATGTGGTGCGTGCTGAGGGTCGGCGTGTTTATAAATACAACACACCTGAATTGATCGTAAAGCTAGCCTCATTAAAGCGATATAAAAATGAATGTGGCTGAGAGAAAATTTATTGATAAAACTTTAAGGGCGAAGGTAGGGTCAATTGGCAATGAGAAAGAGAATAGCATGCAAAAATAAAATAAAAAGTAATTCGGTCTGTTCCCGCCCGGGTTCGAACCGGGGACCTTGTGCGTGTGAAGCACACGTGATAACCGCTACACTACGGAAACAACTGACGATCTGATGACAAAAAGGAAACACCAGCTTGGCACACAGCTTTAGAAACAAATTCTCAAATTTTTAATTTAATTATTTGTTAGAGAGTTAACGTGGAAACCGACAAATTCTTTTCAGGTCCCGGGCATTTCACCGTGCATCCACGAACTTTTATTTTCCTCATCTGCGGGCTTATCAATGTCAAACCGGTCATACGACATTTTGCTTTTTATTATGTGTTTATCTGCACCACGTCGTACACAACACTCACCTTATTGTGTTATCTAAAGTGCAGAGAGAAGCAGCTCAGCTTAAAGCCTTACGGAAAAAAATTTTCAGATTACTAAGTCACCGTTTCTATCAATTTGCATTCTTATTTTTTGAAACTGCAACAAAGTAATTCAAAAAGAAAAATAAAAAGTTAAAAAAAAAGTGATCGCAATGTTCCCGCCCGGGTTCGAACCGGGGACCTTGTGCGTGTGAAGCACACGTGATAACCGCTACACTACGGAAACAACTGAAGAAACGGCGGCAAAAAAGGCAACTCGAACTTAGCTATGGAAAAAGAAACAGGTCTAATGCCTTTAGATCGTGGTACTTGGTGCGTGTGGTACTCTTGACAATAATAATGAACCCCAATTCATTGACTGGTCAGTCCACTTTTAATTTTTATTATTTCTTTGTTCACTTACGAACTAGTGATCCGGCGGCAAAAAAACCAACTTGGCCTTAGCTAGCTGACATCGATAAGAAAAAAGCCAGCGATTTGGAAACAATATATCAGCGCTCGATTTGCATAATTTCCATGCGGGAAAACGCCAGAACTTGTGGAGTGAAACCCTGATTTATGGGCATTCCGATAAGCGAGTAAAAGTGTTTTGACTGCGGTGTCTTGAATTTTTCTTGGTGCTTAAACTTGAAATTATCCGGGGCATTAGCGAGTTTCCCTTTTTCGATGTGAACTATCAACTGTGTCGCGGCAGCCTCTGAAAAAGGAAAGCTCTTATATCATTATTGTATCGGTCGGTGCGTGCGGCGGTACTATAAATAAACAGCTAAAGCAATTAGGTGGCTTCTGTGCCAAAATTGATTGCAAATTGTGCCGGGGATGCGGCAATGGCTATGCAGGAACTCTCCGACTGATAAGAGCAATCGGTCGGATGCGAATTCTAAGTGGAATGGACACCCGCAACGGCCACAAACGGGTTCAACTGGCCAATGGCGATACAAGTGACAAGTGAACATGGAAAACTAATTTATGTGGCGCATGCGACAGGAAATGCAAACTCCACTCCACTCGATTCGATTCGATGAATCGGAATGCAATATGCAATATGCGGTATTATGCAGTGCAAACCCGTCGCTGCGGTTGCTCAATGAAAGTCGGTACTCGGTTTCGCGGTTCTCGGCTCTTGGGGACACTTGGCACCTCGTGGAGAGAAGACCTTGACCGGGTCCCGGATGGACAACGGTAATATGAAACCACCGCTAAGACACAACAACTGGCGAACAAGTGAAGAACATATAACCGCCTAACAACACTTTGCTCTTAACTACATCGGCGAGTGGCACTTCTGGCCCCGCCGGCTCCTCAATCGAAGACGTGTAAAGGAAGCGTATCTATCGGTGGGATCAGCATTACCAGCTGCACAGAGAGCAAATATTCGCAAGGCGTTAAGGACCTTCAAAGAAATTTTAAAAAATTTCAAACTAGTAAAGATTTTTACAAAATTAGAGCCCTACTTACAAAGGGCAACGATTGGTACTTTTACTTTCAAAGTGAAGAACTATACTATACTACACTTTCACTCAGCTAAATATACCCAAAAGGTAATTAAAAGTAGAGATATCATATAAAGCTCATTTCTTTCTCCCAGTGCTCTTGGCAGCCGGTTTAAACTGCGTCTGGCTGCAGGCTGAGCCATCGCCTCCATCATCATCAGCATCGGCAACAGGCCGCATCTCAACATCATCGCTTGTTGACCAAGTTATGCTACGCGAACAACGATGTGTCATGTCGGGCCGCCGGTCATTGCCAAGATGTGGCCAAGTTGCTTAAGTGGCCAACACAGGAGATACTTCTTATTGGCGAGGCTTTTGCTTCACACCTCCCACAACGGGCGGCCAAAAATTCGCACGCTCGCGGCGCCAGTCGATCCTGGCCAGCTGTGTTGGCCAAGAAATCCCGGTCTGATTGGACCTAGACCCCGAACTCCGCTGCAGGCCATCAACAGGCGCATTGATCTTCGTTCGTCGTTCGCCGTTCGCCGTCCGCGGTTGCATCTTTATTTTTTATTAATCGCCCCATTTATTTGATTATCTCAGGGGCCAGCGGACTGGCTTGGGATAGATTTATGCCTCGGCGGCGTAATTTACTCGCTAATCATGCAACACTTTTCATTTTGACACGTTCGGGCGGCTCTCACCAAAGCACCGCCAGCGGTAATTATGTAAATTCCCCACCGATCCTCTGCGATCCATCGACTGCCGGGGGGTTTAATTTTATGATCTATGCCTGCTCCGTGCTTAGAAGCGAACTTAACACAAATTGATAAAGGCAGCCATCAACAACAACAGCAACAAGAACGTGGGGCTCTCGGTCTTGGACTATTTTTACGATCATCGATCCCGCGTTCCTCTTGTTTTCCCTGGCGAACACATCGCTAACATAAATTACGGACAAGGAATCGGGCACCAAGTCCGGTATAGAATTCCAGGGAAAACGCATCGAGCATCGGCCCGCTTGTGTTTTGACACCAAACATCCGCTCTAAGCCGCAGCAAAGGGTTAGGGGGCGGGGCCCGATCCGAACCAGGATCGGAATCGGTATCGGTATCGGTACCCACTTGGATCGGATGGGGGCAGATGATCTTGTTAGCCGTTGCCGCTCATGCGCATGACTGCAATTTAAGCGCCATAAATTCTGTTCTGTTCCCTGCTCCCCAAGTCGAAGGCAATGTGTCAAAGTTGTTGGGCCCTTGTACTTTAAAGGGTATCAAGGGTAGTTTTGGTTATATCATAAGGGAATCAATTGTATGGTGGGGAAATACTTGACTCAACTCACTTCCTTTTTCTCAAGCATAAACTTAATAACCTTGTAAGACATTTGTTGTCTACTATAACTGTATGTATATTTTTCATTTCTTCTAAGATTACCCATTCAATTGAATTGATATTAATCCTGAGATTCTACTAATACCTTCAATTTTATATATTATTATACTTATATTTTAATGGATATTTCTCAATCGAACCTTTATATTAATACACTTTCTTTGATGCTTACCCAAGCATAATGCCCTTTCAAGCGTTTTCCAATAATGTGAGGCTGCATTAGATGACTTAATACGATTTTGGTTGGGTATGGCTTGGGTTCTGGGGGGGTTGAGCAGCTGGATCGGATCCGCTTTCAAGTGGTTTCGCGGAGAGGGGGGAACAGTGGCACTAGCGGAGACTTTGCTGTGACATATGCAAATGGGAAAAGTAATTAAACAATCCTTCAAGCCGTAACTACGAGAGACATAAATTAGTGCTTAGCATTATAAATAAGCACAAACAATTTCAGCATTTTCTACACGATTAATAACGCCAATTAATCGCAGAAATGGCGGCGGACGGCAGTCATTGCCATGTAACTGACAAACTGGTCGACAGTTGCTAATGAATTAATCAGCGCGGAGATTAGATCGCAGATAGATTCTGATTCTGATTCTGATTCTGATTCTGGATCGGCGATCAGAAACCATTCAAGCAATCGCGTAAAGAGCGTAGGCATTTAATTGCGCCACCACACAATAATATTAGCGGCGTTACTGACAAATGATAATTGGTATTTGCATGACAATTAGAATCGCTGCCAAGATCGGATCAAATGGGCGCCAAGCGTCTTTGAGAAGCTGCCTCGTTGGAGTCCGTTGCAAATGCGATTGGTCACGCCGGGCACTTCCTGCATATTTGAGCCGGTTTAAGAGCCCCAGCCAGTCGGCTTCTGATCAATGGACCAGACTCTCGCGGATCGTAAACACTCGTGCACCCGAAAATGCACCACAAGGATCGAGTTTCCCGAACTTGACATTGAAAACATCAGCGGCAGATGAAGATGCTCCTCGGCCTGTCAATCCGCTTATGGTGCGATCATTATCACTGATCCCCAACCGAATTAATTCCCCGTCCTAAGTGGCTCTTAATTGTTGCAGTTTATTTCGGGAGTGCACCCAAGCATCGATTGGTATTCCATTCGGAGGGGCATGTCACTCTGTTTGTTTGGTAAAAGGGGCGGGGTTGGAGGTTGGAGGTCGGGGGCAAACGTATCCAGTTGCAATGCTGACAAGATCACGTACAAAGTGCAACTTTGCCGGGCTGTCAATCAAATGATGATGTTATTTTGTTCTTCGATCTTAAAGGGTTTCTTCAACTGGAATGCTCACCATTAAGTACTCAATGTGTCATTGCGAGGGCGGCTTGATATCTTCAGCTGTTTGCCTTAAGGTGATCGTCTAATCTGCGTTTGTGCAAGGTGATGGTATTTGGTAGATCATTATTGAGATAATCCTAGTTTTATGTAAATGAAGGCAATAAATCCTTCTGCTTTATAATGTAGAAATTTGTATTTAAAATAGATAAATCAGTGTTCTAAATATACTAGGTTTAAGGTGACGTTATTTACCTCTAGTTTGTCTTACTCATACTCATTATTATAACGTACTTCTTTTTATGTTATTTAAATGTTATTTTAGTTGTTACTAAAAAAACTGGCTTAATAATAAGAAACGATCTAAACCAGTGGTGTTATCACACTCCTTTTATCTAAACTAGACTCTAAACTTCTTTTAATTAAAGTTTATCTCTATATTGATTAAGATTCGTCATCACGAGATGATCTGAGGTAATCTTGTTGAACTTGTTTCTACACGACAAGCTTGTCTTTGCAAGTGTACTACCTTCTATTAAACAAACCCTTATCGCTATCCGATATTTGCCCAGGAATGCTGACCTTTAGCGGTGCTATTGCCTTGAACGACATAAATTGAAACCCCCTCGCGAATGTTGATCAATGAGCGCCATGCGCAATTATCGCACCTGGAACGCAATCACCTGGAGATAAGCCGACGATATCAAACAACGGCCCGAATGTGTTGGCCATCGAGAACACAATTTTGTCTGCTTATGTTTGGGTTTATATTTTATTTTTACTTTTTCGGCAGTACTTGAACGCTAACTGGATGAGTCACCCACCCGTCGGTAATAACTAATTGTCTTTAAGCCTAACAGAATTACGTCTATTGAAAGATTAGTGTCCGTTACCGTAGTCGGCCCACCTTTTGCCCAAAGCCTGATCCCGTGCCTGCTGTCGGAGTACCTTGCCACTCCCCGTTTTTGGCAACTCGGTAAGAAAGAATACGCCACAGTGGAGCTGCTTGTGCTTGACCACCAGTCGCTTGGCCACGTACTCCACGATGTCCATTTCGGTTAGGCGACTTCCAGGGACTTTAACGACCGCCGCCGCTGCAGGATCGCCATCGACTTCATTCCACAGGCCGAAGACACAGGCCTCGATCACATCCGGCAGCTCGGCGATGACCTGCTCCAGTTCTTGGGGACAGTACTGGGCGCCATGGAAACGCAGGAGATCCTTCTTGCGCTCCACGATGTGCAGGTAGTTCTCGTCATCGAAGTAACCCATATCGCCGGTGTGGAACCATCCCTGGTAGTCCTGCATCCGCTTCGACTCGTTGGGATTGGCGTAGTAGCCGTTCCATACCTTTCCATTGTGCACAAGGATCTCACCAGTCTCTCCGTGTCCCAAACTCCGACCGGCGTCGTCTAGGATCTTGACCCGCACTCCTGGTACAATCCTTCCCACGGAAGAGGGTTTGGATATGCCCATATTGGCCGCCACGCCTCCACATTCGGTAAGGGCATAGCCATAGGATATCTGCCCTGTGATAAGGAAGTCCTGCAGCTTCAGCAGGTTGGCCACGTAACAGGATCCTCCGCCCACGCTCACAAACCGAATGCTGGATAGCCGCTGCTTGCTTAGAGTTGGCGCCTTTAGGAGGGAGGCCACCTGCTGGGGCACCACCGTCAGCAGGGTCACCTTGTACTTCTCCACCAGTTGAAGCAGGTACTCCGGGGTATAAGCCCTGTCCGTGATGATCCGCGTGGAGCCGTGGCAGCAGCTGAACAGCATGTTGAACATGCCAGCCGACCAGTCGATGGTGCTGAAGGAAAGCAATACATCCTGACCGGTCACGAAGCTGAAACGGAATGGAAATTAAGTTTAGGGATTTGTTTTGGAAGTATCCAGAAAAAAAGCATTATCCAAATGGTTTGCTTTACCTTCGATCAAAAATATTTAAGGTATTTTCGTATACAATTGTTAGACAGTAAAGGGCTTTTAAACTATATTTTAATTAGACCCTTTCTACAAAAACAAAAATCCAGTTAGACATACCAATAATTTAACGTTTAAATATATTTTGTTTTGCTACTAAAACAAAAGTAATAGCAATTTATTATTTGTTAAAAAAACACAAGAGAAAATAAAAAATCAAATCATCAAAACAGTATAAGATAATTAACAAAACATACACCCATTTACAGAAGATAACCTCATATAAAAAATATTTTTTGAAAAAAAACTGAAACAATGTCTTGAAGTTAAGCCAATTGTTTTTGGTTAAATATAAGCGCGATACTCTGGGTATCTTTTTTATCAAAAAATATTATTTAATGAATGAGTCACACATTTTAGAGAAACCCCTTGTGCTCTGCCCATAAGGTTCATCCCAATATCTTACCCAAAATCGAAGAGACAAGCCGAGTTGCTAATACAAACTGCTTTTGGAAGACCTGTGGTGCCCGAAGTGCAAAGAATGGCAACTGTATGATCTCCACCAAGTAGGAGAGTCTCTGGCCTGTTAAAGAAAGAATCATAAGTTTAATTACACATTAAAGAACTGCATCAAATTAAGTCTTACACATAGTAAAGCTCAGCTTTAGTGGGTTCCAGCAGATCCTCGACGCGCGGCATGCCCAACCGATGATCCTTCAGCGTGTAGACTTGGCTCTTGAGAATCCTAGCAATAATGCTCAGGCGCTGGTAGACGTAACCGTCGCAGAAGATGACCCTTGGCCTGGTAATGGAGAACAGGTGCTTCATGGTCTCCTCGTCGTGCCAGGGACTAACCGCATGAAAGGGTGTGCCATTCAGAAGACATCCCAGAACAACAGGCATTAGGTAAGTGGTGTTGGTTCCAGCGATGCCCACCACATCATCCTGTTTCAATCCCATGGCTTTCAGCTGCTGGGCAATGCGGATCGCAAAGGTGATGGCCTCTCCATTGGTTAAAGCTGTGCCTTCAGTATCCGAAATCTGTAAAAGAATTTCTTATAAGTAAAGTTTCGATATTTTATATCTCTTGAACCCACCTGACAAATGCTGGACGGATGATTCCGCATAAAGGCGAACAGAATTTTACCAATCGAACAGTCCACATCGAAGAAGTTCGCCGGCCTTGGTCCACTCCAAATTTTAGTGTATTTATCGAATTGCGTGCTCGAGCGTTCCATTGTGGCGACTGATAAGAATGGCCGGGTGCCAACAAACGGTTTTCAGTGTCCGGGTGCGAATCCGGTCCGGATTCGATAACGGTTCTTCAGCAACTGGCGACCGCTCGCAACGTTCGGGCCATTTGCAGTCCAGGTGGAGTGGAATGTTATCGCTAAACCGCTTTCCATTCCTTCCAAGCGGTTTCACTACGTCACTGTTTTGCGGGCGTAGCTGGAAAAGCTCATTGATAAGCGCTTCCAGCTAGATAAGCCAATAGCTTGAGATATTTTCACTGATAGTTGGCACCTTTTTGAGTGAGTAGTGGGGTTAATGAAAAGACCTTGGATAGGTGAATGCCCCTATTATAACCCACTTAACACTTATCTCTCTAAGATACCATATGAAGATGCAATTTTTGTAAATTATATGTGATATGATAAAGAAATGAAGTTTAAGGGAGTTTAGATAGTGAAACTCTCATAATTTCAGTTTAATTAGTTAATTAACTGATAGATTGGTATGGATATAATTTTTCTTGATGTTTATACCTTTGCAGAGGGTATTATAATTTCAGTCAGAGGTTTAAAACGCAGTGATTTAATCTGATCGGCTTGATTTCTTTCAGGTGGCGTTTTCTAACTTCTATTGAATTTCGGATTGAATTTTATCAAAATCGGATAAATCTATCAAATAGCTGCCATAGGAAGTTAGACAAATCGAAATCGGACAACTATATCATATAGCTGCCATAACAAGAATCAAAAAAATGGAAAATTAATTGAAAAATCATCTTAGCTTCGATATTGTATGTAAGTATGATGTTGTTCGATATAATTTGAAGACTGCAAGGGTATATAAGCTTCGGCTTGCCGAAGCTAGCTTTCTTTCTTGTTTAAAGATGAATTGTTCTATCTAAAAGCAGTTAGCTGTTTAATAAATTTGATCTACATATGTATTTATATACTTCGCTGTTTTAAATGAATATTAAATGATTTCCACTAAAATATTAATAGCACATGTTTTGGCTGCTCTAGCTCTTTGATACAAAAATGACAGTTTGCGATTTCTGCTTCAATTAGTACTTTTAACCTCTAAGAAATAGGCTTTAGTCGCCATGCGGTTGGTCTTGCCATTGGGACTGCGCTTTAGATCATCCACTATAATGACTCCCCCATTCAACTGCATGTACTTGGCATCGATGTGAGAGGCCACATAGTCCACGACGTCCTGGGCGGTGAGAGTGCTCCCGTGTTTCTTGACCACCGCAGCAGCAGCCTTGTCCCCGACTAACTGATCCCAAACACCGAAGACACAGACCTCGGCCACGTCGGGCATCATCGAGATGACGGCCTCGATGTCGTTGGGATAGTACATGATGTTCTGGTACTTCAGCATGTCCTTCTGCCGCTCCACAATGTAGATGAACCCGTCGTCGTCCACGTAGCCGAGGTCCCCGGTATGGAACCACATCTGCTGATCCCTTATCTGGTGGCTCTCCTCCGGATTGTTGTAGTATCCCGACCAGAACTGGTCGTTGCGAATGCACAGCTCACCCACCTCGTCGGGACCCAGGGACTCTCCCTTCTCACTGATCACCTTTAGCTTCATTCCGCTCACAAGACGACCCACCGAGTTGGGCTTCTCGTCGAAGTGGTAGTTAATGGAGGCCATGCTGCCGATCTCAGTGAATCCGTAGGCGAAGTGCAGACAATCCTTGCTCAGGCGACTTCTCATCTTGTGTTGGGTCTCCACGGAAGCCCGGGATCCTCCGTAAAAATAGAAACGAATACTCGACAGGTCGCATGTTCCGAATGCCGGGGAGTTGGTCATCATGGCCATTTGGGAAGGTGGCTGCAATATCCACGTGATCTGGTGCTCTTCTATGAGGCGCATAAGAAAAGCCGGATCGAAAACATTATCTGCAATAATCCGTTTTGTGCTGCAAACCCCGGACGTTACGGTGGTAAGCAATCCGGAGATCCAGTCGAGAGTACTGTGAGTGTACTGAACATCGTTGGACGTCAAAAGACTAGGAATAAATTGGTTATTTTCTGAACTCAGAAAACAATGAACCTACTTACTCAGCGCAATTGAAGATCTGTCGACTATTGGTAATGGTTACCGCCTTGGGAGTTCCCGTTGTTCCCGAGGAGCATAAAATGGCCAGAGTTTGGTCATTTCCTTGCTCCAGTCGAGCTGGCTGGAAGTTCTCCTCAATGGGAGTGGCTAACACTTCATCAATCCGAATGGAATCCGACGGATGATTGCGCATGGTGATCAACTTCACGTCCATATGGGAAGTGGCGGAGCGAACCTTTTCAAACTCGTCGCCATCGCAGAAAATAATCTTTGGCTTTGTGATGTCGAAGAGCTTTTCAATAGTGCTCTTTTCGTACTGAATGTTAAGCGAATGGAAGGCAATTCCGTTAAAAAAGCAGGCGTAGACAACGGCAAACATGTGGGTGGTATTCCTGGCTATAATGCCAACCACATCGGATTGAAGAAGTCCCAGGGATCGCATATAGCTGGCCACTCGCATCGAGTTGGCATGCAGTTCCTGTCTAGTGAGTATAGTGTTTTCCGTGGCTGAAATCTGGTGGGTTACATAAAATTTTTAGATAATCTTCTCCTTAGTAACTTCAAAGAATACCAACCTGAGCAATAAGCTGCGGATGCCGCCGCATCTCGTGGAAAATTATCTGGCCGATGGACAGTTGTGGGTCGAAGTACAAGTCCTTTTTGCCTCCGCTCCAGATTTTGCGATCGGCATTGTAGGAGCTGGATGGTCTAAAACGCATTCCGTGAACTTGTTATCCGTCCGTTTAAATTCTCGAATGACTGCAAAGTGAAACGGCAGCTTTCCTTTTATAGAGCTGCGCTCTGTTAGCAAACTGTTTTAGATAACTTTCGGGCGTACTATATGAGTAGGTTCACTGATTATATTTCACCGACACGCGAGATCTCAGTAGACAAACAAGTGAGGCAATCTCCATAACAAAACACTCGCCTTCTGTTTGAGTAATTGGCGCTAGACCCCCAACATCTGTAAATGCGATTAGGCTGCCCTCCTCGCAATGACTTGCATTTTCTCAATCGAGAATAACGTGCATTGCATTGCATCACATGCATTGGTACTATGGTAAATATTGGCACTTCGATTAGTAGTTTTGTGGCAAAGAGGGGTAATCATCGTTCTGGTTGAAATTTTACGGAAGCTTTGTAATTATGAATTACTAACTTGGATAAGTTTAGATGAACTTTTATTATTAACCTTAAGAAAATGCCTTACTCATTTTATGATTGAAGTTTCGTAATAAGAGGCACTGCTGACGAAATTTTTGAGCAGCTTACGTTTTGTTATTATTGCGTATTAAGAATTATTAACAATTTAAAAACATTTTTAGAGTTCTTTAAACAAACATATGTAAGCCTTGCAAATTTTTAAGGTAAATAAGATACGAATGCTTTCAAAGAGATGCAAAATTAGCTTCCTACTGAATTTGACTAATATATAACATACCGCTTTTGACTTGGTAACAATTGTGACTCAAACAATATCAAATCCAAAACTTTAACCCGTAAAAACTATTAAAACTAATAGAAGCATAATAAAAATAAGTAATCATATCATTTTTGTTGTTTATTATTATAACAATAGTGGTGTTATAAACAAAGTGTTCTCTGTTATTTGTTTGTTTATTTTGTTTTAGGACTGGTTTGAATTACTCAAGTAGGCTGCCTTCACAGCTTGTCGATTCACCTTTCCGTTGGCGCTCTTTGCAAGTTGCGGAACTATTTGCACTCCTCCGTGGAGATGCTTGAACTGCACGGATACATTCTTTCGAACGAACTGCTCTATGTGCTCTGGATTCATCTTACTTCCTGATCGGAGCACCACGGATGCGGCTGCGGCATCTCCCTCCGTCTCCCGCCAAATGCCAAAGACACAGACCTCGGCCACGTCGGGCATTTGGGCGATGACCTCCTCCACTTCGTGCGGATAGTACATCATGCCCAGGTACTTCAGCATGTCCTTCTTGCGCTCCACGATGTGCAGGTAGTGATCCTCGTCGAAGTAGCCAATATCCCCGGTGTGATACCATCCGCCGGAGTCCCTCATCTCGGCGGTGGCCATCGGATTGCCCACATATCCGCTCCAGGGTTGCCCATTGTGGCAGAGAACCTCACCCAATTCCTTCGGACCCTGCAACTGCCCCGAGGAGTCCAGAATCCTTACCCGAATGTTCGCCATGAGACGACCCACCGAAGTGGGCTTGGATTGGGTGTCGAAGTTGTAGGACACCAGTGTTCCCACCTCCGTGAGGCCATAGGCATTCCTCAGAATCCCAGGACCGTGCAGGAAGGACTGCATCTTCTTTATAGTGGCCACCAAGCAATGGCCTCCAGCGAAGATCAAGTGTTTAAGGCTTCTTAGCCTTTGAGAGCGGACATTGGGACAGTTGGCCAACATGGCCACGTGTGAGTTGGCCATGATGGTCCACGAAATCTCGTGCTGCTCGCAGATGTCCAGGAAGTGGGCGGTGCTGAACATCTCGCTGGAGATCAGCCGCACTGTGCCGAAAACTCCTGCAGTGACCAGGGTGATGAGACCTGTTACCCAGTCCAAGGTGCTGGGAGCGTACTGAACGTCATCTGAACCAAGGTAGCTGGAGAGTAAATTGGGATTTTAGTTGAGATTATATTAGTTTTCTAGAGTAAAAGTTTCAGAAGATATATGGATTTTAAAGTGGTTTAAGGAAACGAAAATAAAAAAATTGATATGAGTATTAAAGTTATTAAGCACCGATTCAATCGAATGTGTAGAAAATATATCATTAAAATGTGTAGTAATAGCCAATTGGATGATAATTTTAGTACCTATTAAAAATAATTCCTGTGTGATAAAAGATACCAAAATTTCAGCATTAATCATAGTCACGATTGGTGAGTTTTCCGGTAAATACTCAACTCAGTATGAACCCTACCTGTGGGTCTCGAACAGCTTCCGACTGTTGGAGATGGTCACTGCCTTGGGGGTTCCAGTGGTGCCGGAGGAGCAGAGGATAGCCATGGTGCGATCCACACCGCGTTGGAACTGCGTGGGTTCGTAGTCCTCGGGAAGGGGATTCTGCAGCAGATCAGTCACACTAATGACACCTGGTAGCTTTCCGTTGATAATTATGATTGGAGCTCCCAGCGAGGCTCCAATATCCTTGACCTTTTCGTATTCTGCAACATCGCAGCACAGGATCCGGGGCTTGGTGATCTTGAAAAGACTGGCGATGGTCTTCTGCTCCAAGTTGGGATTCACGGCGTGAAAGGGAGTTCCGTTGAACATGCAGCCGTAGGCCAATGCACCCACATGGGTGGAGTTCCTAGCCATGAGGCCCACCAAATCCGTCTCTGTTTTAAATCCCTGATCCCTCAGATAGCAGCCAATCTTGGCCGCGTTTTGCAGCATCTGGAATCGGGTTAGCCGCGTATTATCCGTGTGCGAGATCTGGAATATCCTTTGCGGTTGCCGCTGCAACTGCCGGAAGATGATTTGCCCCACAGTCAGTTCTTCGTTGTAGAGGCTCTGGATCGAGGAGCCACTCCAAATCTTCTGGTCCGGATCGTAGGAGGTCGCCATGTTCCCGTTGAGGTCCAACATCGTGATGCACGCGCGGTTTGCAACTGTTGCACGCTCGACCGCCAACGGGTCTATTTAAAGGTCGGAGAAATTGGAAAAATTAGCCGGCAATTTAGCAGTTAAAGTGTCCGGATATTTAATTTCACCTATTGATTGCCTGACCGTTCGCATGACACGATATCTGTGCGGAAAACGTTTGGTCAATCAGATGATTATTCAGTTAAGCTTTGGAGTGCATCTTCGAATATGTACTGCAGTTCACTGCTTTATTCAGACCGAATTTTTATGAATTTTACATTTTGTTTTTTAAATCATTTTTCGTTAGTTTTTAAATTCCTTTTTTTATATAGTATTTGTATGTTATTTACTACATATCTTTATTAAATGCCAAACCATTATTTTGGCCTTGTTGTCGCGCCATCTACTCGTTTCTTTTATGAACTAGATTTTTCATACACTCACTCTTATCTACATGTATAGTTTTATTCATGTAAAATTTTAATTCGACACAATCTAAAATTTTTTTTGGGCTTTGATCAGGGGCGGACCCAGGGGGGTGGTCCTGGGGGTCCGGACCCCCCCAAAATCTCAGAATTTTTCAAATTCCCTTACAGCATTCGGTCTTTTAACCATATAAACTAAAAAAATTTTTGATCGGACCCCCCCAACCTAAAAAATTTTCGTTCGGACCCCCCCAAGATTTTTTTCTGCGTCCGCCCCTGGCTTTGATAAAGTGTTTGCATATATTGCAATAAGTTACAAAATTAAAATTTAAAAGCAAAATAATTTAATCCTTGTTTTTTAGCTAACACGTTTTAATGGCAATTTTCATGAAGGTTAGACGCCGTAGTTTACATTATGTAGAGGTTGATTTCAAAAGAGTTACTTTATAGCACTTGATTTTATAGCGTTTTATAGGTGGTTTCTCTCTTTTAAGATTATTATTGGCGCAATGCTTCGACATAGTATTTCAAATCATAGCAAATCGTTTTAAATAACCTATTGCAATATGTAAATTAACAAAGGGGAAAAATAAATAACGAAAACAAACTAAATATCCTTTTAGTTGATAAGTAAAGCTGATAATAAGCTAATAATTAATAAGCTAATAATATAATTCTGATTAACGTGTTCCCCATACTGAGATTAAGCACAGTTTGGAAATAAGATTGTAAACTCAGAACGAGTTGCCATAAACTTAAGGGCCAGGTTATAGCGATAATAAAACTGTGATAAGCTTCTGGCGAAAAAGTTACCTTAAAAAGAAATATTTCTCATGAATTCTATGAGGGTTCAGTAATCGTATAGCTACTTGGCTTAGGTATATGGTTTCACCTGAACGAATAAATTAACATGATTCTAAGGACTTAAAAAAATCATGTTAATATGTGAGCTTGTGCTTTTACCATTGCATGATCAGACCAGCGATCGAAATCGTTATCTTGCGCTTTTTCATTTACCAAGAAAAGCTCCTGTTCGTTTATGTTAATCATATTTTTATTTTGAATCGCTTTATCTGCTGTAAGCAGTGCGGTCGCTGGTTTCTATAAAAACCAGATTGCAACTGCGTATTTTAAACAGTTGAAACTTGAAGTTAGTAGTGAGAACTAGTGAACTAAAATGAGGTACACCCCACCCATTTCTTATGACGCCGATCACAAAATCTGGAGTGGAGATCATGTGAAGAATTATTTTGACCCTCATTTGTCCATCGGGCAAATTATTTTTGAAGAAATGCGTCGGCATCCACAGCTTATCGCTCAGGTAAGTTCACTTTAAGGTCATTTGCAAAATAGGAGAATAACGTTTGAAGTCTTCCAGATCTCGGCCACGGAAAACACGATTCTGACCAGACGGGAACTTCATGCCAACTCGATGCGAGTGGCCAGCTATATGCGATCCTTGGGACTCCTTCAATCCGATGTGGTGGGCATTATAGGCAGAAATACCACCCACATGTTAGCCGTTGCCTACGCCTGCTTTTTTAACGGAATTGCCTTCCACTCGCTCAACATCACTTACGACCAGAAAACCATCGAGAAAATCTACAACATCACGAAACCAAAGGTAATTTTTTGTGATGGCGATGAGTTCGAGAAGGTTCGAGCTGCCACTTCTGAACTTGATGTGAAAATAGTCACAATGCGTAATCATCCGTTGGATTCCATTCGGATTGATGAGGTGCTGGCCACTCCTATTGAGGAGAACTTTCAGCCAGCTCGACTGGAACAAGGAAACGATCAAAATCTGGCTATTCTGTGCTCGTCGGGTACAACTGGAACTCCCAAGGCGGTTACCATTACCAATAGTCGGCAGATCCTCGCATCTAATCTGTAAGTTGTGTGATACAGGTGTTCTAAAAAAATGTGTTAAAAAATATCTATCTTATAATCTTGCAGCCACTTGACCACCGCTGATGTCCAATACTCCCATAACACGTTAGACTGGATCACAGGTCTGCTTACCACTATAACCTCTGGAGTATTCAGCACAACCCGGATTATCGCAGATAACCCTTTCGATCCCGCCTTTGCACTGCGAGTTATTAAGGAATACAAGGTTACCTGGGTCATCCAACCACCTTCTGCCATGGCCTTGATGATCAACTCCCCGGGGTTTGAGTGCTCCGATTTGTCAAGTATTCAGTGCTACCATTTCGGAGGATCTCGGGCCTCTATCGAGGTGCAGCAGAGCATCCGGAATAAACTGAGCACGGATTGTCTGCACTACGGCTATGGGTTCACAGAGCTCGGTGCTTTTGCCTCAACAAACATGCATTTTGACGTGAAACCCGGATCGGTGGGCCGGCCGGTTGATGGTCTCAGACTGAAGATAGTTAACGGTAAAGGTGAATCCCTAGGACCAGAGGAACTGGGCGAGGTGTGCATACAAAACAACCAGTTTTGGGCAGGATACTATGGAAACGAAGGCGAAACCCGTCTAATCCGCGATTCAGAGCGATGGTATCACTCCGGGGATCTAGGGTACATGGACCAAGACGGGTTCCTATATATCGTGGACCGCAAAAAGGAGATGCTGAAGTACCAGAACATCATGTACTACCCCAACGACATCGAGAGCGTCATCTCCGAGATGCCGGAAGTGCTGGAGGTCTGCGTCTTCGGGATTTCCAGTGACATCTATGGAGACGAGGCCGCTGCCGCTGTGGTTAAGAAGCTGGGAAGCAATCTCGAGGCTCAAGATGTTATAGACTATGTGAGCAGCAGGACGGATTCCAAGTACAAGCAGTTGAACGGAGGAGCAATCATTGTGGAGGATCTAAAGCAGGGGTGCTCAAATTCGTCTTATGGCAGTGCGTTTACTAACACACCCACAAAAAAACGTGTACATATGTAGCGGCGCGTTTGTGTTGGGGCGCAGCTGTGCACTGAGAGAACTATAAAGCATATTACGCATTGTACTTCGCATTTAAAGTTTATGCTAAAAAAACTGCTCTCTAATTCATCACTCATTTTGATCTGCCAAAAAATTTAATATAACACTTACGATGGTCCACCACGAAATAAATCAAAAGCCAACGCAGACAGAAAAATAAGTTCAAGTGCATGTGCTCGAGGAAAAAACAAAAACAAAATACATTGCGTTCAGCGAAGCGTGACGACGGATAGAGATGTAATGAAGAAACAAGCAAAATTGTTTTTGTTTCGCATGCAAATCGAAGCCCATATGCACGGTGCTTATGCGCGCACTACCCATAAGCACAGAGCATCTACAAAAACAAAAGTGCACTCAGTGTATAGGCGTTGAGCACCGCTGATCTAAAGCGAAGTGCCAATGGAAAGACAAATCGGATGGCCAATAAGGCGTATTTTTTGGAGGCCAGAGACAGGAGCTAAAGGTTTATTTAGTATATGTAATGCCTAAGAGAGCTGAATAAATTAGTTTTTCTTTTAAACTCTTAATCATTTCGATTCCTATGGCAGTTATACTCTATGTTGTAGTGATCCGATTTTGGTACAATGTAATTCATGCCAAGAAAGGTGACCCGACGATATGCGCCAACTACCGGGGAACCAGCCTGATTACCATCTCATACAAGGTCCTATCAAGCGTTATATGTGAACGACTGAGGCCGTATATCAGCACATTGATCGAACCTTATCAGTGCGGCTTCATACCTGGTAAGTCCACCATACACCAAATCTTCATTTACGCCAAATCCTGGAAAAAATTTACACACACCATCTCTTCGTCGATTACAAAGCTGCATTCGATAGCCCGACGAGGGAACGCCTATGCCACCATGTCTGAGTTCGGTATTCCTGCAAAGCTAATACGTTTTTGCAGAATAACATTGAGCAGCACCATAAGCTCTGTCAAGGTAGGAGCGAACCTCTCCGAACCTTTTAATATCGACCTCCTTAATTTCGTGATGGAAGGGGTTCTGCGGAAAGCCGGTGTACATCGATCTGACACTATTTTTTATAAAAGTGTCCAGCTCTTTGCGAATGCCGATGACATTGACTATTTCCGCTATCGAAAACGAGTCGGCAAAAGTGAGTTTGGCGGTAAACGAGGGCAAAACGAAGTATATGCTGTTGACAAGCAGGGAGGCGCGGCGCCTAGACTCCCATGGGGTAGCGAATAGCTATACCTTCGAAGTGTTCAAGGGGTTCACGTATCTTGGCACTGCCATTAATACCGAAAATTAATCCACCAGTCACCTAATCACAATAATAATCTTGAATAATTGATCCCACATTTACAACCCATTTGTGATAAACTCGATCCATTCATTGAAATTCGTTTTTAATAACCTGTTTATATTTACAATAGTGATTAAATACCGAAAACAAACAGTTTTTTGACCTTTAAGCTGAGAAGTAGGGCAAATCAAAATTGCCATGCAATTTCTGATAAGCGACTTTCCCACACTAAGATAAAGCATAGATCGGAACTTAGATTGTGAACGCGTTGCCGTAATCTTAAGTGTTAATGATATGACAGTGATAAGCTTCTGCTAAAAAACATACCCGCAAAACAAAATTTATTATGACTTTATTTTACAAATTTTTCCCAACCATAAGGCTTTGCAAATATCGTAAAGCCATTTGGTTTAAGTATAAGTACACATGAACGAATTAATTTACATGACTTTACAGAATTATGTTAATACATATACACATGTCTTTTCACGGTTGCACATTGGTCTGACATTCTTATCTTTTGTTTTTTACTGTCCCACAAAAGCTCCTTTTGGATGCTGTTATGGTAATCATATTTTATTTACTTTTGCACCGAATCGTTTTATCTGTTAAAAGCAGTGGGGTCGTTGGGTTCTATAAAAACGAGATAGCATTTGCGAATTTCTATCAGTTGAAACTTGAAGTTAGCAGTGAAAACTTGTGAATTAAAATGCCGTACACCCCTGCCAATTCCTACGATGCAGATCACAAAATCTGGAGTGGTGATCATGTGGCAAATTATTTTGACACTCATTTTTCCTTCGGAGAACTCATTTTCGAAGAAATGCGACGACATCCCCAACTCATCGCTCAGGTTAGTTAGCTTCAAGGTTACTTGTGAAATAGGAGAATAACATTTAAGTTTATTTCAACCGTATTTGTGAAGTAGAAGACTAACATTTAAAGTCTAATAGATCTCGGCTACGGAAAACACTATTCTGACCAGGGCGGAACTCCATGCTAACTCGATGCGAGTGGCCAGCTATATGCGATCCTTGGGACTCCTTCAATCCGATGTGGTGGGCATTATAGCCAGGAATACCACCCACATGTTCGCTGTTGTCTACGCTTGCTTTTTCAACGGAATTGCCTTCCATTCGCTCAACATCACCTATGACCAGAAAACCATTGAGAAAATCTACAACATCACGAAGCCAAAGGTAATTTTTTGCGATGGGGATGAGTTTCAGAAGGTTCAAACTGCCACTTCTGAACTAGATGTGAAAATAGTCACAATGCGCAATCATCCGTCGGATTCCATTCGGATTGATGAGGTGTTGGCCACTCCCATCGAGGAAAACTTCCATCCAGCTCGACTGGAACAAGGAAACGATCAAAATCTGGCTATTCTGTGCTCGTCGGGTACAACTGGAACTCCCAAGGCGGTAACCATAACGAATAGTCGACAGATTCTCGCAGGGAACCAGTAAGTGGGATGCTGGTGTTTTTTTTCCACCTATTTATAATTATATACTATCTTTTAGCCATCTGACCAGCGCCGATGTGCAATACTCCCATAACACGTTAGACTGGATCAGTGGCCTGCTCACCACTATAACTTCTGGAGTGTTTAGCACAACTCGCATTATCGCAGATAACCCCTTTGATCCCGCCTTCGCATTGCAAATTATCGAGAAGTACAAGGTGACCTGGATCCTCCAGCCACCTTCTGCCATGGCCTTGATGATCAACTCCCCAGGATTCGAGACCTCCGATCTTTCGAGCATTCGGTGTTATATGTTCGGTGGATCTCGGGCTTCTATCGAGGTGCAGCAGAGCATTAGGAATCGTCTAAGCACGGATTGTCTGTACTATGGATATGGATTCACAGAGCTCGGTGCTTTTGCCTCTGTAAACTATCATTTTAACGAGAAGCCCGGATCAGTGGGTCGGCTGCTCAATGGAATCAGGCTGAAGATTGTAAACGATAAAGGTGAATCCCTAGGACCCGACGAACTGGGTGAGGTGTGTATCCAAAACAACCAGTTCTGGGCAGGATACTATGGAAACGAAGCGGAAACCCGTCTAATCCGCGATCCAGAGCGATGGTATCATTCAGGGGATTTGGGGTACATGGACCAAGACGGGTTCCTATATATCGTGGACCGCAAAAAGGAGATGCTGAAGTACCAGAACATCATGTACTACCCCAACGACATCGAGAGCGTCATCTCCGAGATGCCGGAAGTGCTGGAGGTCTGCGTCTTCGGGATTTCAAGTGACATCTATGGAGACGAGGCCGCTGCCGCTGTGGTTAAGAAGCTGGGAAGCAATCTGGAAGCCCAGGATGTTATAGACTATGTGAGCAGCAGGACGGATTCCAAGTACAAGCAGTTGAACGGAGGAGCAATCATCGTGGAGGATCTGAAGCGAAGTGCCAATGGCAAAACCAATAGAATGGCCAACAAAGCGTTTTTTTTGGAGATAAAGGAGAGAAGCTGAATGTATATATAGTAAATACAAATATGTAATGCCTTAGAGAACTAAATAAATTACTTTTATTTGTAAACTCTTCAGAAGTGAGGCCTCTAATTTGTATATTCTTTTGTTTCGACCAACCAGTGGTTTTCCAATTGAGATAGAGAGAAAGAGAGGGCAACAGCACATTTTGTGTGAGCCCCCAAAAATTATCCTACAATTTCGATAGTTATAGTTTATTTATACATAGTTAAGTATAACCAGGGCTAACAGAGTTATGTTCTTAAAAACGTAAAATATGTATGGATTTATGGACGAAAAAATAGAGAAATATGGACGAAATATGGACGAAAAAGTTGACAAATATGGAATAAAATGGATAAATATGGATAAATATAGGTAGTATAGACGAAAAAAGGGATAAATATAGGTATGCAAATGGATAAACGTAGACGATTATATCGATCATATTAACTTTTTATGACAATGAACAATTTGAAATCGCTACAAACAAAAGTGCGCCGTTTGTCTCAAAGATCATTGCAGAACCTTTAGAACAATATGACATGTTGTGACAGATTAGTAAAAACAAAACTACGGCGTTTGTCACTTAATATGTGTTTATATGGTGAAAATGAACGCTCAACGTCGCAAGATGTAACAGGAGCATTTGCATATGCATTCAGTTCAGCAGGTAATAAATTCAGGATAAGATCGTCACTTTCTGTAGAACTATTAATGAGATTTCCTGCTAACATTCGCGATATGTCCTGAAGAATTCGCAGATTCATAATTGTTACATTCGATGATACATATTTTGATTGATTAACGACGCAACGATGTTTTGTTTACATTATTTATTATCGAGTATAAGGCAAACGACAGAAATTTCATAATATTTGAGCCAAACATATCTTTCTATAGGTTTTCAGACACTTTAATGCTCAAAATATGGATTTATTCAAGTGATTGTGTAAAATATGGATTTATAGGAAAAAAAGGCGAAAATATGGAAATAAATATTTTTTCATTTAAAAACATAACTCTGTTAGCCCTGAGTATAACTATTTCCTAGGCTTATACTGTAAATTTTGGGACAAACCATGTAAATCTGACCTAAAATAAGGTTGCAACACAAGCAGATGTTAGTTAACATTATTTAATTTTTTATTTTTTGGCCAATTTTTTTAAATTTTTATGGTACAACCCCTTTTGAAATTTCCACTAGTCCATAATTTCACTAAGTCCATAACTTATTATTAAACTTTGCTTTATTTTACTATTAAACTAATTTTGTTTCCTTTCACGAAAGTCGGACGACTATATTATATAGTTGTCATGGGAAAAATCGGTGAAAATATGAAAAGACATTGTGATGACTGCAAGGGTATATAACTTCCCTTCTTGCTAAAATTAATTGGCTTGCTTGCTTACATAAAGTATAAGTTTTTTATTAACGCTTACTCTAAGGCGCCACATTTTATAGCCCTTGATTTTATAGCACTTTTTGTGCTATAAAAAACCAAGGCATATTTTTTAGCCCCTTTAAAACTTGGTAGTGCATTGTATGTTCATTGTAAGCTTAACACTGCAATTATTTAACCAACAATCGATCAACCAATTGCTAGGTTTAAACAACCTGTTTATAAGTGTTGATTAAAATATATGAAGATTGAATAACCTGTTTGAAAGATTAAATAATGAAAACAAACAAACTTTTTTGAGGGAAGGTAAGGCTAGTCACAGTTGCCGTGCAAAGCTTGATAACTCTTTTCCATGTTGAGATATCGGACAGAAGATTGTAACGCAGTATGAATTGCAATAAACTTGGGGGGCAAACAACAGCGATGATAAGACAGAAAGTGAAACTAATATGTAAAAAAATCTCTTCTTGGATTTATCCGATAAGCAACTGGAGAAGAAGTTACCTGCAAAACATCATGTCCCATGACGTTTATGGTGAGTACGTAATATTACCTAGATGGCTTGCAACTTTTTCCCAACAATAAGACTTGGTAAATATCGTATAACTTTTTGGCTTAGGTTATTGCTCAGCATAAAAGCATTATTTTACATGATTAAACTAATACAGGTTACTGTGTAAATTTGTATTTTTACGATTGCACTTTGTTCCAACAGAAATGGGCAGCGTTATCTTGAGATTCTCCTGTTCAATGTTGTTATGATAATCATACATATTTTTATTTACTTTTCCCGCCGAAACGTTTTATCTTAATCTGAAAGCAGTGTGGTCGCTGGGTTCTATAAATAAGAGATAGCATTTGCGATTTTCTATCAGTTGAAACTTGAAGTTAGACGTGAGAACAAGTGAACTAGAATGCCGTACAAACCAGCCAATTTATATGATGCCGATCGCAAAATCTGGAGTGGCGACCAGTTTTCGAATTACTTCGACTCGCACTTGTCCATCGGAGAGATAATTTTCGAAGAAATGCGTCGGCATCCGCAGCTCATTGCTCAGGTAAGTTCACTTCAAGGTCAATTGTGAAATAGGAGAATGACGTTTAAGCTCTTTGAATGTTATTTGTAAAATAGAAGACTAATATATGAAGTCTTACAGATCTCGGCTACGGAGAACACTATTCTGACCAGGGCGGAACTCCATGCCAACTCGATGAGAGTGGCCAGCTATATGCGATCCTTGGGACTTCTTCAATCCGATGTGGTGGGCATTATAGGCAGAAATACCACCCACATGTTAGCCGTTGCCTACGCCTGTTTTTTTTAACGGAATTGCCTTCCACTCGCTCAACATCACTTACGACCAGAAAACCATCGAGAAAATCTACAACATCACGAAACCAAAGGTAATTTTTTGTGATGGTGATGAGTTCGAGAAGGTTCGAGCTGCCACTTCTGAACTTGATGTCAAAATAGTCACGATGCGTAATCATCCGTCGGATTCCATTCGGATTGATGAGGTGCTGGCCACTCCCATCGAGGAGAACTTTAAGGCAGCTCGACTCGAACAAGGAAATGATCAAACTCTGGCCATTCTGTGCTCCTCGGGAACAACGGGAATTCCCAAAGCTGTAACTGTTACCAATAGTCGACAAATCCTCGCCGAGAACTAGTAAGTTGCAAGATGCGAGTCCTATAATGCCTATATTATTTATTGCATTAATTTGCAGTCATCTTACCACTGCTGATGTACAGTACTCCCATAACACGTTAGACTGGATCACCGGCCTGCTAACCACCATAACCTCTGGAGTATTCAGCACAACTCGCATTATCGCAGATAACCCCTTCGATCCCGCCTTCGCACTGCGAGTAATAAAGGAGTACAAGGTCACCTGGGTCATCCAACCACCTTCTGCCATGGCTTTGATGATTAACTCTCCGGAGTTTGAGACCTCTGACTTTTCGAGCATTCGGTGCTACATGTTTGGAGGATCTCGGGCCTCTATAGAAGTGCAGCAGAGTATCCGAAGTCGACTGAGCTCGGATTGTCTCCACTTTGCCTACGGATTCACAGAGCTGGGCGCCATGGCCACGATAAACTTTCATCATGACCTGAAACCCGGGTCGGTGGGTCGACTGGTCAACGGACTCAAGCTGAAGATAATCAACGATAAAGGTGAATCGCTGGGACCAGATGAAGTGGGCGAGGTGTGTGTCCAAAACAACCAATTCTGGTCAGGTTACTACGGAAATGAAGCGGAAACCCGTCAAATCCGCGATTCAGAGCGATGGTATCACTCCGGGGATCTTGGGTGCATGGACCAAGACGGGTTTCTGTATATCGTGGACCGCAAGAAGGAGATGCTGAAGTACCAGAACATCATGTACTACCCTAACGATATCGAGGGCGTCATTTCCGAGATGCCAGAAGTGCTGGAGGTGTGCGTCTTCGGGATTTCCAGTGACATCTATGGAGACGAGGCCGCTGCCGCTGTGGTTAAGAAGCTGGGAAGCAACCTGAAAGCCCAGGATGTTATAGACTATGTGAGCAGTAGAACGGACTCGAAGTACAAGCAGTTGAACGGAGGAGCAATCATCGTGGAGGATCTGAAGCGAAGTGCCAATGGCAAAACCAATAGAATGGCCAATAAGGCGTATTTTTTGGAGGTGAAAAAGAGGAGCTGATTGTTTTCTTAGTAAATAAAAATATGTGATGCCTTAGAGAACTAAATAAAATAAAAACCTCTAATTTGTGTATTTTTTCGTACAATTTACAATGAAAATCAGCAAAGCTATAATTACTCCCTTTTTTTAATCTTTCCTATAGGAGTTATATAATATAGTTGTTCGATCCGGGCCGTGCCGACTAATATATTCCATTAAATAGCTTTTCAACTTTACGCAAACTAATGCGTAAAAGCAGACAGACGAACGTTTATGTCTATATCGATTAAGATGGAGATCAAGAATATATAGTGTATGGGGTCTGCGGTGTATTCTTCACTGTGTTGCAAGGGTATAAAAATATATGTATATAACATAACCTAATTAAGCATTTGAATGTTAAGGTTTCTGGTTTTATTTAATAACTTAAATGCTGTTTATTTTGTGTAAGCTTAAAATCCTAGTCTAATCCAAATCCCAAAGTCAAAATCGGTCAGCCAAGACCAACATTTTTGGGTCAAACACATTTTGATATACTAGCCGAATTTCTTACTTGTTCCTAAAAGTATGTATTAAAAGTCCCATCAAATTAATTCTGTTGGCCTGGTATTTGAAATCCAAGTGGCATAAATGCCAATATATTCAAATTCGAAATTAATGATGTTTAATTAATAATAATTATAATGATATCGATGTTATATGATCGTTTCTTAGACCACATTAAAATCCAGATAATCTTTTGAAATTTTTACAACGGAAGTTATCTTAAATTATCTGAACTGAAAGTCCAATTTGCTTTACAGCTACCTGGGTTCAGATGACGTTCAGTACGCTCTCAGCACCTTGGACTGGGTAACAGGTCTCCTCACCCTGATCACTGCAGGTGTTTTCGGAACAGTGCGGCTGATCTCCAGCGAAATGTTCAGACTAAAATGCTCTGGACTCATCGGGGCAGTTGCAGGGTCCAAAGAAATTAGGTGAGGTTGGTACGTACACATCATGGAGCGCAAGAAGGACATGCTGAAGTACCTGGGCATGATGTACGATCCGCACGAAGTGGAGGAGGTCATCGCCCAAATGCCCAACGAGGAGGAGTGAAAATAGTTCTGCGACTTGCAAAGAGCGCCAACGGAAAGGTGAATCGACAAGCTGTGAAGGCAGCCTACTTGAGTATTTGAAACCAGTCCTAAAAACTATAAACAAAAATAAATAACAGAGCACAAGCTTGGATTGTTACACCACTATTATTATAAGAAAAAACAACAAAAACTTAACAAAAGCTTATCTAATTTAAGTGTACTTCAATTAGTTGCAATAGTTTTTGTGGTGTTGTATATTGTTTGAGTCACACTTTAAAAGCAAAATTCGAAGTCAGTAGAAAGCTATATTTGCATTCCTTGAACACGGTCAGATCTTATTTATTATTTATTATTTATTAACTTTAAGTTCTTAATAGTTTTTAGTAAGTTAGCATACACAATAATAATAACGAAACGCTACGCCTTATTTTACGAAATGTTTATCAGAGATTATAGGATATGTAAAAAGAGTGCCGTAAAGTTAACGATACGAGTTTATCCAAACTAATCCAAGTTAGTAATTCAAAATTTCAGAGCTTCAGTAAAATCTACAACCAAACGTGATATTACCTCCCTGTGCCAGAAGTGCTAATATTTGCGATAGTATACATGTAATGCAATATATGCATATTATTCTCGAGTGATAAAATGAAAGTCATTACGAGAGAGGCAACTTAATCGCACTTACAGATGTTGGTCGTCTAGCGCCAATTACTCAAACATAAGGTGAGTATTTTGCCATGGAGATTGCCTCACTTGCTCGTCTACTGAGATCTCGCGTGTCGGTGAATTATAATCAGTGAACCTACTCATATAGTTCGCCCGAAAGTTATCTACAACAGTTTGCGAACAGAGCGCAGCTCTATAAAAGGAAAGCTGCCGTTTCGCTTTGCAGTCATTCGAGAATTTAAACAGACGGATAACCTGTTCACGGAATGCATTTTAGACCATCCAGCTCCTACAATGCCGATCGCAAAATCTGGAGCGGGGGCAAAAAGGTCTTGTACTTCGACCCACAGCTGTCCATCGGGCAGATAATCTTCCACGAGATGCGGCGGCATCCGCAACTTATTGCTCAGGTTGATATTCTTTGTAGTTACTAAGGAGCAGATTCTCTAAAATTATTATGTAACCCATCAGATTTCAGCCACGGAAAACACTATTCTCACTAGACAGGAACTGCATGCAAACTCGATGCGAGTGGCCAGCTATATGCGATCCCTGGGACTTCTTCAATCCGATGTGGTTGGCATTATAGCCAGGAATACCACCCACATTTTCGCTGTTGCCTACGCCTGCCTTTTTAATGGAATTGCCTTTCATTCGATTAACATTCAGTACGAAAAGAGCACTATTAAAAAGCTCTTCGACATAACAAAGCCAAAGTTAATTTTCTGCGATGGAGATGAGTTTGAAAAGGTTCGCTCCGCCACTTCCCATCTGGAAGTGAAGTTGATCACCATGCGGAATCATCCGTCGGATTCCATTCGGATTGATGAAGTATTAGCTACTCCCATTGAGGAGAACTTCCAGCCAGCTCGACTGGAGCAAGGAAATGACCAAACTCTGGCCATTCTGTGCTCCTCCGGAACAACGGGAATTCCCAAGGCGGTCACCATTACCAACAGCCGACAAATGCTCGTTGAGAACTAGTAAGTTGCAGTTACTTTTTAAAACCAATATAATTTATTGCATTCATTTGCAGTCATCTTACCACTGCTGATGTGCAGTACTCCCATAACACCCTTGATTGGATCAGCGGCGTGGTAACCATTATAACCTCTGGAGTGTTCAGCACAACTCGCATTATCGCAGATAACCGTTTCGATCCCGCCTTCGCATTGCGTGTTATTGAGGAGCACAAGGTCACCTGGATCATCCAAGCACCTTCTGCCATGGCTTTGATGATTAACTCCCCGGTGTTCGAGACCTCCGACCTGTCGAGCATTCGGTGTTATAAGTTCGGAGGATCTCGGGCCTCCATGAAAGTGATGCAGAGTATCCGAAGTCAACTGAGCTCGGATTGTCTACATTTGTCCTACGGATTCACGGAGCTGGGCGCCATGGCCTCGATAAACTTTCACTTTGACGAGAAACCCGAATCGGCGGGTCGAGTGGTCAACGGTCTCAGGCTGAAGATAATCAACGATAAAGGTGAATCCTTGGGACCAGATGAAGTGGGCGAGGTGTGTATCCAGAACAACCAATTCTGGGCAGGTTACTACGGAAACGAAACGGAAACTCGCAAAATCCGCGATTCACAGGGATGGTATCACTCTGGGGATCTAGGGTACATGGATCGTGATGGGTTCCTATACATCGTTGACCGCAAGAAGGAGATGCTGAAGTACCAGAACATCATGTATTACCCCAACGACATCGAGAGCGTCATCTCCGAGATGCCGGAAGTGCTGGAGGTCTGCGTCTTCGGGATTTCCAGTGACATCTATGGAGACGAGGCCGCCGCCGCTGTGGTTAAAAAGCTGGGCAGCAAACTAGAGGCCCAAGATGTTGTGGATTATGTGAGCAGCAGGACGGATTCAAAGTACAAGCAGTTGAACGGAGGAGCCATCATCGTGGAGGATCTGAAGCGAAGTGCCAATGGGAAGACCAATCGGAAGGCCAATAAGGCGTATTTTTTGGAGGTGAAGCAGAGGAGCCAAGTAATTACATAATTTTTAAAAGCAGTTTGAAGTTAAAGACTCTGTTTCGTGTATTCTTTCGTTTTGCATCATTTATTTATAAACATTTCACAAACATCTTTATTCTGGGGGTTTCACACAATTATTTCGTTATTTCCTGGTTTCCATTTAGGATTTCTTTCCTTTCGGGTGACAACAATTATTTCAACTATTTTGTAAAATTATGCTACTAATCTTTCACTTAGGCATTTGATTTGCTGTTCTAATTTTTCGCCGACGGCCTTGATGTGTTATTGCCGGGTCTATATGTACGTTTAGAATTTCTTTTGTTTCTGTTTCTGTTACTGGTTTTTGGCGTTGTTTCTTAGTGGTTATGGGTAATGTTTCAGGATTGGATTGCACTACAGTGAAGTTCATGCGATGTTTATCTCGAATCGACTCGGCCTTAATTCTATTCGTGTGCGCGTGTGATCTTGGCTAATTCCGCTCCTGTCTGGGGATCGGGGGATCGGGGGTTTCAGGGTTTTTCGAGGTTTTTCGGGGTTTTTCGGGGTGTTCGGGGATGTGGGTGTGCGTGTCCTGACTTAGCTCTATAAAGTAAGGTGATTTGCAGTGTTTATTGATTCGCTCCGCGCTCGCCATCGATGGCAATTTCGATTCGAATGATTTGGTTGCTTGTCGTTTGTATTTACACTTCCTCTCTAGAAATTATAGTTTGAGTTGCTTGATTGTTATAAATGGGCCATGGAGCCGCCCCCGTTTGGAAGATATGTGTTATGATTTATCTAAATTTTAACTTGCAGTACTCAAACTCGTTTGCCCCCTCAAACTGTGCAAAGATTAGTTTCGTTTTTCGATTTTTCGATTTTAGTTTTAGTCGATTTCGAATTAGATTTCGATTTGGGTGTCATTTTGATTTTGTTCGTGTGGTTAGCAAAGATTAAACATCGAGTGATTGGTGTGAGTGGTGAGTGAGTGGTTCAAGTGAGTTCGGAAAGTGGGTGGTGAATGCAATTTGCCGTGGCGCTTAGTAGCTTAATTATGTGAATGCTTTAACTAGTCTGGTTTCTGATTTCAAACTGCCTCTTAAGATCTAGACATACGTTAACTTAGGATCTACTCGTTCGCGTAGTTCTTCTCGTGTTACATCGCATTGGTAAATGATTTAATCCTATGCTTCTCTTGTTAATCAAAACCTGTAAGTCTTTTTGGAACGCATCTATATATAAAGTTGTGCACATTTCGTCTTACGATTTCCCGTAGTTGTGTTACTCGTTAACCTAACCATTAAATGACATTTACATGTTCTGACCCAAACTATTTACACTGAACTGGACTGCCGCTGCTAAACGATTTGCCGGAAAAATGATAATTGACCGAATTGGAGAACGGCAAATGAAGAGCAGCACACAACCTAAGTATGTTTTGTTTTTTCCACTAAAAGTAAATGCCGAAAACAGTGTTTCGTCCACCCATTGAGTACGACCTAATATAATTGTTCTTTCGTCTTCGCGATAATTTTCCATCTAGTACATCAATCAACGCCATCAATTTCCATCAATCAGCAATCGTCTATCTCCTTAGATTTTTCTCCACTTTGCTCTTGGCTCATCAACTATATGCTCACATTTAAAAACCCTGTATGTTCAATAGCTTCATATACAATACAACTATAGCTAGTGTTATAGTTATAATTCACGATCTCTTTCGATATTCTTTGACTAGTTTTTGGTTTCTCTTTGCTTGGCACAACTTTTACAACATGAAAGTGTCTATAAATATTTTTCGATTTCGTTTTTCTTATGTTCTGATCGTACTTATGACGCTTCATTAATGACAACAATTATTATGCAGGGTGCCTTGTGTTGTGTCTATATATATTATTTTAAGTTCAATTGATTTTTGATTTTCATTTACGTTTAATTTCTTACCTTTAGATTAAAAATGAAAGCAAACGAAAAGCATTTCCGAAACCAAAGAAAAAGTTGAGAAAACATGAGAATAAAACAGGCTTCAAGTTAATAAAATATTAAAAAACTACGAAAATATTTTATTTAATTTATCTGAAAGGTTTTAATTGTTATTGTTGTTCTGGTTCTGTTTCTGTTGTTGCTATGTAGAATTCTTTTTTATTATACGAGTAGTTCTAAAATTAGAGCTGCATAGTTTATGGAGTCGGTTAGTGCACTTCTCTAATTGGGTTTCGAAAAGATATAGTGTGAAAGGAGTATAGCTATTTGAAAGATAGAGGAGGAGAAAGAGAGAAGGGGAGAAAGTGGGGAGAAATCTCCTTGGCATACAAAAAGGCACTTAAATAACCAAATACATTTTGGATACGAAAAAAACCGTATATATCATGATCTAATTTTTGGCTTATAATACTGATTTCAATAAGTATTCAATAATTCTCCGGGGCTTTTACTACATGATAAAATATTTTGTATTGTCTGTTAATTGGTTTATGGTTTGAGTGTTGTATATTTATATTTTGTTAGTCTAATTAAGGAAATTAACTAGCTAAGTGGCCTCTTCGACCCAATACATAATTAAGTAATTGTAAATTTATTATAATACTTTAAGGATTCAAATCAAACAGTAATCAGAATTTTGGGGCTTTATTCCCCGTCGAGTATAATAACAATTTAACTACTATAAAATTCAACTCTAAAATTAAAAGCAAGCTATTTATAAATAACGAAGAAAATTTCTAGGAAAGTTTAGGAAAAATAACTTGCAGATACCCACCAGTGTCAGTAGAACTTATCTTTTAAGAGTAGTTTTGGCAAAGAATTCGGAATTCAAAAATAAAATTCTGTTTTTGTTTCTGTGTGCTTTGAAGGATTCTTCGATATTTTCGATTCGATTCGATTTTTATTTACTTCGATGGTGAACATAATTTTAATTGAATTTACCTAGATTTTCTCGCTTCGGTTAGTTGTTCGTTTATCGACTAAACTTAAATTTATCTACACGCTTTTTACAATTAGAATTGATTTAAACTAGTTCGCTTAAAACTTATTGTATGACATATTTACAAACGTCGAATTTTCTACGACCTCCACTCGCTGTTTGCGGCTTAACTAACTTAACGCATTTAAGTACAAATCAATTGCAATTTTTTTAGAACTAAGCTATAGTCCGGAACAAAACTCGATTATCGTCGATTACCAGCTAAAATAATTAATCAATTCGTAACAATTTGGAGCATCCTCAAAACAAATCAATTCAAACAAGTGTTGTGGTGTGTGTCAGTGTGTGTATCGTATAATTATTTATAACATTATCTACTATGCAGTCACTCTTGATCAATTTAACTTACAATTAACTAGAATTTTGTCATTCATATTCATCAAACATTATTAGCTTTAGTGGAAGTGCCTTGAAGCCTTGCCGGATACCGCATTAACGCATTAACGCATTAACTATTCTGCACTTTTCCGATACATAGCCATACAGATAGAGCATTATCGTAACGTAACGTATCCCTCGATTAGTTAATTTCGCGTTAGATTCTACATAGCCACTGGGTTTCAGAGACGCGCCTTAGAAGGTCCTTTAGTGGTTTCAAGTTTAAACCATTCAATCAAGGTCAAGGTGTCAATCAATCAAATCAACCAAATTGGAAATGAAGCCAACAAAGCCATAAGCAACACAAAGCATGAAATGAAGACAACCGAAATGGAAAGAATGAAAGAATAGGTTAGTACATTCGTGTTGGCCAAGAGCGCCAACTCTTCTATAAAGTAATTGGTGTTTGGCAATAGGTAACGGCATTTACTCATCCTCCTCCTCCCTGAAGAGATATGTGCTCCAGTAGACCAGGTTGAACAGGGCGAAGACCAGCGGGAAGGTGATCCGCGATATAACATCGATTCTCTTGGATCTAGAACATTGTCTTTGGATATTAAACAAGTACGAAAATGCAAATTAATTGATCATCTAAAGATTGGCTTTTTGATTTTTGTGATTACTTGATTGGTATTTCTTTTGTTTTCGTTTCGTTTTGAAAAGTTCCAAATTTGGCAAAATAATTTGTTTGTTTTAAAAGGAGGGACGGTTAACACTACGTGCTGTAAACGAAAAAAGTGCGGTTTCTGGGGAGTTAAAATATCTACAAGGGGAAAAGGCTAGAATCGGTGGTGGGTCGGGATACTCGGGTATTAATCGAATCTCAAGGTCTACAACAAAACTAATAATAATTATTTTTTTAAAACAAACAAATCACACGCAAAATGACTGAAGGCGAAGCATAATCCATCGAACAGCCACCAAAAAAGGGCTTTCGACTCACGACGTTCAATCAACTCAATTGAAAACATATCGAAATTGAATTTGATTGCACATATACTTGGCTCAGTTCGGCAAGCAATTAAACCACTTTATTGTTAATTGTTATTTGAATTGGCAACAAAAGACAGCGGGCAAACAGAATCGAACGAACGAACGGCAAGCAAGCGGCAGATATCGGGTTTGGTATTCTTGGTTTTTCGTTTCGGTATCTTTCACAGGTATTTCAATGAGAGACTGTAGAGTTATGTGATAGCAAAAAGTCAACAAGAGTTAGTGAAAGAGATATAAAGAGTAGAATAGTAATAGTACATGTTCACAACATCAAAAAGTAAATCCATCAACTACTACGGAACACATATGGCATATGGAACTAAACGAGGTCGCTACATGGTGGGTTCGAATGGTTCGGGACGGGCCGTCCCCAGTTACCTTGTTGGGAACTTCGAGAGCCAGGTCTTGCAGCAGTTGGGTCGCTTCGGGGCCTGCATGTGCACCTCGCACTGGAGCCGCTTTTCCAGGGCCAGCGGATCGCCAGGATGGCGCACGAGCGGTTTCTGTTGGCCGCCACCGCGCGTAAATTGCGACGCCGTTTGACATGAAAGTTGCGATTGTAGTCGGATGTAAATGAGGGTCGCAGGTGGTTGGTTGTTGGGTGGTTCGGTGGTTCAGAGGTTCGATTGTACGATGGATCGGTGATGATTCGGGTGGGTCGATAGTGCATTGGCATAGTGCATAATTTGATTTAATTTCGTCGCAATTTTTCAATTCAATTCCGGTCGAGTAAGTTTGTTTTGGTTGCCAGCGATGTTCAATGATGGTTGTTTGGTTGGTTGGTTGGTTGGTGGAAGGTTGGTTGTTTCAGGTTTTATTTTCAGTTTATTTGTGGTTGGTTGTTGATGTTGGGGTGGTTTTTAGTTGTTGTTGTTGTTGTAGTTGGGATGAGCACGTTTGAAAAAAGTTGTTGAATTTTGCATTTGTTTTTGGTTTTGTTTTTTGTGGCAATAAAAAAGAGGCAAATATAAAAGGAAATAGTTGTTTTAATAGTTTTATCATAACAATTTGTTATAAGCCAATTATATTTTGTTTGAAAAAGATCGGATAAAGTTACTGTAAAACCCAGAAAGGCACGGGAATGCTTTTTGAGGGAATAATAGAAATAGTATCAAAATAAAGCCCCCCCGCAATATTTGACCAACTAAAAATCAGTAAGAGAGATAAAAAATTAATCGAACCCAACTCTTTGGCTATCTTCCCACCTTTGGCTAAGACCCCCAATAAACCATAAGCTGTTTGGAGTTTAAAGAGATATATCAAGAGGTAAGTACCATTGCGAACGTTGCATTGCTATCTGTATCGAGCAGATCTGAAGCGGCATCTAAACTGGCCTGCTCCAGATCGCGGCGCTTCTTTTTCATATTCTCCTTATGCATGTCTGCGGCCCGATCCGTATATATCATAGATATATGTTGCATGTGATGGAAGATGTTTGACAAGAATTTATTTGTTCCACGGCAGTTGGATGTTTTGGTTTTTGGTATTTTGTTTTTTTGGATTTTTACAGGTTTTATTGGGTGTGTTAGTTTTAGATGCACAGCAAAACACGGTTAATACAGTTAGACAGCGATAGTGTTAGGCGAGACAGAGATAGAGACAGTCAGAAAGAGAAAGACAGAGAGAGAGTCACACATACAGAAAACGTTAAACAATTCGAAATGTCCACAAAAAAAGGGGGGAAATCAGAAGGATCAACCAGGAAACCAAATAAATATTTCGGGTGCAATCAGATCGATGAGGTCGGGGGAGGGGGGTTTGCAAATTATAATTCGATTACCACAAAGATCGGTGGATATACACACAGTTTGTAGTTATTTACAAGCAATGTTTTACAACAGCAAGGAACCGAACAGAATTCGTTGTAATTCGAAAGGAAATTCGACCAATTTGTTTACAGTTTTGGTTTGTGTTTTTTCAAACGCGTTTTAAGTTCGTTGTTTGTGGGTATTTTGTGTATGTAAGTGTGAGTGTGTGTGTGTGAGTGTGGAGAGTGCATTTTGGCGTGGGCGTTTGGGGTGTTCGTATATGCATGTCGATGAATGGTGGGCGCACAATGAAATAAGAGAGTAAAACAAAAAATTGGATTAGTTTGATACACACGATGGACCCATTTTGTGGTTAGATATCAAAGTGAAAAGTAAATAAGGGAAAAAATCGATCAAACACTACGGCTAAATCGTTGGGCTTTCGCTCAGAGACATATATGTTATATAGAGATGAGTACGTTAGGAGTACTCAATGCATATTTGGATATAGCCCGAAACTTGTTGTTATTCTTGTTGTTGTTGTTGTTGTGTGCCACGCCGGTCCTGCGTGTGTTAGTGTTCTGATATAACGGTCCACAGTGAGAGTATACTCATGTGTGTGTGTGATTGAGTGTGGCGTTGGTTCAGAGTTACGTTGTTGTATGTACAGTATGCGTAGACACTTAGATATGGCTACTATATAGATATGTACGTATATTCGTTATCACTCAGTACAATAAAACAACAGAAAAAAGATAAACACCATCGATTAATTAACATTTATACGTGGTTAAGAAGCATATAAAAGTTCAATTACTAGCTTTATTCGAACCTGAACGGGATGCATAGTTCACCAGGGCGAACTCGAGCAGGGCCCCGAACACGAACGTCAGACACACTCCCGTCCACACATCTATGGCCTTCGTATATGAGACGGGCGGCAGCGAGGCGTTGATGCCCGACGTCTGGGTGGCCATGGTCAGCAGGGTGGTCACACCTGCAAGGTGGTTGGGTGGAATGGTAAAGGATATTAATACAACATTTAACCGATGAGGTGTCAAGTCCAGTTAGAAAAATAGGGTTTACACTATGCTTATAGGAAATAAAGCAAAAGTACAAGCACAGGGTACAAATTTCCCATTATTATTATTTAAAATATTTCGTTAGAAATATTTGAATTATTCAAAATTAGTTAATTTATAAGAAAGTTTTTCTTCAAATCAAACATTTATAAACCTTGTCAAGTTAGTATGCAAAATTTATGTATGTGTATGTTTACTTAAAACTTTTTTCAGTTAAAAGAATCAAGGATATAAAACCGTCAAATTCCATGGTCTACCACAGTCTATAAATTAGTAGATATTTTCAAAAAAATATTTCTTGATCACTATGTGTTAAACCATTATAATACCCCAATAGAGTAGAAAAGGAAATTGTGATATATATTATGGGCAAAATATTTTAAAAGTTTAAAAATTTGAAACTTGCATTATAAAGAACCATAATTTGCAATGTACTTGTAAATATTATAAATTATTTTTAATATTTTAAACGAATAACATTCATGAAAGCAACAGTTACTTATATCAATATATAACAATAATAACTAACTAATAGTTAATCACTCACCCAGTGAGACACGCGCCGGCACTGCTCCTTGATCCAGCCAGAATGATACCCATGATACAATGACCAACATACAGCATGGTATATAAATTTGTATTAAGTAATATGAGAATTCTCGCTTGAATAGTAGATCGACTTTGAGGCAACTGTATTCACCTATGAGTATACAAGGTATATAAAACGTGTCAAACTCAAAATGTACGGGAGGATGTCTTTAGAGAGGTTTCGATTTAGCAGCTTTTGGCTTTCGTTTTGCTTAAGTTTTCACGCACACACACAGTTTTAGTAGGTATATACACACAGATAGATATCCAATACACGGTACAAAGAAATGCCATCCAATAAAGAGGGAACATAAAAAGTGTCTTGCTCGGAAATTTTGCCAAGAAAAGAAATTAAAACGCATTTACAGACCAGTTCGAGTCCTTTAGGGTATGTACAAAAAGTGGGTTTTCCGAAACAAAATGAAATAAAATAAAATAAAACAAAACCGAAATAAAAAGTGGGTGAAACATATCATACAAAAAACGGAGGGGGTGGCGTTTGGCGGGCTTAAGAAGACATAATGTATTTACAGGAAAACACAAAACTCAGTGGGGAAAAGGGGGTGGCGGCACACAGACAGTGGAAAATTATAAAATCAAATGAAAAATTGCATCATAGGCAAAAAGTATCAACATGAATTCAATTTTCTGACTTTTGCAACAAAAATCTTAACGGAAATGAAGTTCGACGGCTTTTGTGTGCTGGTTCTTGTTGTAGGTTCTGATTTTCATTTCATTCGCTTCCGCTCGACAGGCGCTTCTGCTGCCACGCCTAACGCCCTACGCCCCGCCCCTTTGCGATGGCCCACGCCCCTTTCTTGTGCTTCATTTCCGTTAATTTGTTGGCAAAGCGTTCCATACTCTTCAAGACAAAGTTGTTTATTATTTTACATTCTCATATTTTTTTTGTTTTCTGTTTCTCATTTTTCGATTTCGGCGATTTAGTTCGTTGAGCGTGTGCTGTTCGCGAATACTTTTTCTCTCAGTGTCTTAACGTGCGGGTACTCATTTGCCCTGTTTGCATTTAACTGCTGCGTGTGTGGTTTATTTGCTCGGCTCTTTGGTCTGGGTTTTGGGTCTGGGTCTTTGGTCTGGGTCTGAATCAGAATCGCAATCGGAATCTGGGTCTGGTACGCTCTCCGTAAATCGCATCTGGAACAGTTCGCACTGCGGCTTTCGCTTTGGCTTTGGCTTTTGCCTTTGCTTCTGGCTTCGCAACTGGCCATCATCAATCAAGCGATGGCTCTCGTTCTCGCTCTCTCTCTTGGCCGAGATTCGACACTTGAGCTCGATTCGAGAGTTCGCCGAGCCGAGCCGCTTGGCTCTTTAATTCCGTTCAACGCTCATAGAAGATATAAAATTAATAAACTTTATGTGAGCAACTAGGTTCAAGGCGATCTAAGAAGATCTAAATTGCAACAACTACGCAACGTCTAGGTGGAAAAAGTCATATTTAGTTGAGGTTAAATATAGTTGAGCTAAAAATGAGTTTGTTTTTTTTTTGTTTGGTATTTTTTTTAATCATGCTAACTTATTTGTGGATGGATGATGGGGATGATGGCCCTATTAAAGTTGAGTCTTTGGTTGCCGTTCGCTAATTGGCAAGCAAACAGACTTCGTGTCAGCAGGTTTTGGTTTGATTTAGGTGGAGGCTCCCTCCTAACTAGACAAATACGCGGCTCTGTTTGCTCGGGCTGCCGTAAACTATCCTAATATGCTGACACACAATTTGCCAACTTGTAGAAAAATCTGGCCCTGTTGTTTGCCTCCATTTCCACTTTCCACTTCCACTTCCTCTTACACATCTACATTTTTCTACAGCTACGGCTTCTACATCTACATCCACATCCTCGTCGCCATCATCTTCGGTGCAGCGTCTTTGTGCAAGTTTAAACAACGTCGCAGACAATTTCCTCGATTAATTTACTTTCCGCACGGCTTTTGCCATTTTTGCCTTCATTTTCCGTTTCGCATTCGATGGGGAATCCCCCTTGGTCCTCCACTGAATAGTTGTTCGCCAAGGTAAACATTTACTTAAAGCGCGCGCAGATTTTAAAGTGCTCATAAAAAACAGCAAGGTAAACGATGAGTATGGGTGTGAGTGTGGGTTTTACAAAGTGTGGGTGTGGGTGTGGGTGTCTATATATAGGGGCACGTGTGTGCAAGCGTACAAAATACATCGTAAAAAGTTGGTTCTATGCGTTTCGGGCATTGATAACGGCCCAAAACGATATGCTCATTGAAATGGCGCATGTGTAAACGGCATCTTATGAAATTCGCTACGTCTATATTATATAAATATATGTGTGTGCGGGTGTGTGTGAGTGGCTGTGGGTGTGGGTAATTGCGGGTGTATGTGTGTGCGATGAAGTGGTTATGGGTCCGTTTATAATATTTTCCAGTTGGGACCCAGCGTTTACGATATGGTTAGAGCTAAAGTTAAACCACTTGGCATGCAATCTCGAGGGAACACTTATTACAAATGCAAACAAAATACGCAACGCAGCGAGGAAACGAAACAAGCCGAGAACGAGTAAAAGGAGCATAGTTAAGTTAAGATTATATTGATGGCGAAAATCGGCTGAAGGAACACTGTCGAACACACATTTAGAACGCACGTACCCGTGTTGGTTTTACTGTTGCAGTAATCAGTCAAGAACTTCTCCAGCGTGAAGCGAGGTAGGTGTAAGTTCTTCACCACCTGCACCGGATCGCCCTCCTTCCACAGGAAGACCAAGTCGTTGGTGGTCCAGCCATCTGAAAGAGTGGATATTGTGTTACTTAACTAAAACAAGAGGTAAATATTCCCCTAAGAATGGGGGTTCATAGCTTCATTACTTAATTAAATTTTAGCTCTCACAACTTTAACTCCCCAAAATACCATAAAAACCCTTGAGGCGGAAACATAAAATGCATGTGAAATAGTTTTAGTTGTAGGTACTTTAAGTTAAGGAAGTTTGAGTTATGAGAGTAGTTCAGAATCTATTTTCAACTATAAGAAATTTAAAATGTTTAAAGATATAGGACCATTTTTTACCATTTCCATTTTATAAATTTCATTATTTGTGATAAAACTCATTACTGTTAAAATCTTTTTAAAAATAAAATTAAGTATTGGCTAATATATACATTCAAGTTTATTTTTACAATAAAATTGTTGTTTGTTTTTGTGCAATTTTTGAATACACCCAAAAATAAGACCATTATCGATACTACATTTAAAGTGGATTTCTTTAAAAACTAGAATCGGGGTATACTGCCGCAGAAGTCTCATTCTCATTCTTATGAATGTTAAAAAGTAAATATTCCGAATAATAAAATCTTTTACTTACAGCTCGCCATTCTCAGTGAGCAGACCTGCCTGTCCAGTGGATATAGCTTTAGGTTCATTGGGCAGGCCAATGTCAGCGAGATACGTATACTATATAGCACAGAGCCGTTGGGGAAGATGCGAATATACACATTGGGCATGATAATGTTGTGAAAGTGTCCCTCCTTCTCATTCGAAAAGAAAAGATCGGGCATCCACACGCGGTTCGCCTCCGTCAGGGTCAGATATTTCAGTCGACCTGCAGAGATAATGAAGATATTGTAAATTCTCTGTACAATTTATATCTTCCCCCAAAACTTACCCTGGATATCGTCGAACTTGAGGCGCTCATCCGTCCACTGCTCACGGAAGGTTAACTGCACACTGTACTCCTGTTGGCGTTTTAATTCACAGATGGTGGTTCAGGTGGGCGGTGGATGGTGTTGGTTGGTTGGTGGGTGGACAGAGTGAAATTCTCATTAGTAGACGAAGTAAATTGGGAGCTTTGCGGGAATTCAATCTCAACTACAATGCAAATTTCGCTTTGTCGAATTGAAAAGGGAGTTCTTTCAAGTTTTCTTTTCTTTTCTTTTCAATTTTTTAGATTGTGTGTTAAGAGGACTTTTGAATGGGGGGTGGCTTGCAGTTCGATTTATTTAATTGAATTTGATTTTTGGTTTGGAGGGGCTTTAGCTTTACGTTTGCAAAGATTGTTTTTGTTTAAGTATGAAAGAGCGAGCAAGGCGAGGCGAAGTAGTTGTTATTTGTATAACTGAGTGGTATATATTGATATTCGTATATATATATTATATATTTAGAGAGTATGGTGGTTAACTGTCGTTTGGCTTGGGTTTCTGCTAGTTTGAAATGTTCTCGGCATTGTTCGGGTTGATGGTATATCTTGTCATGGCTAATAAATATTTCATTTCTGAGCAAAATGCAACCAAATGCCTCATGCGACGTGTTGCACACTCAAAGTTCAAAAATGGGCAAGCAGGCTAAAAGCAGGCAAAAAACACATCAAGACAAAAGCAAAACGAGCAGGCGAAATGCAAGGCTTCTTATACATACACACATTCCAAACCTTGAATAAATTCTTTTCTCTTAAACAAAACCTTGAAATTATATGTTAGTTTAACTTAAAAATATCTTAATAATTCCTTAATTCAATAAAAGCGTATCAAAAATATAGTGGCAAGAATTTGTTATTTCTTTGAAAACGAGTATTAAAGTATGAGATAATAAGACTTATAATTAATACTAATGCTTAGGTGACTTCTATAAGCTGAGTTATTTAAACTTCAGCGGAAGTCAAATGCAATATTAATTAAGAATAACTTTCTAAAGTGCATGCTTAAAAAACTAGTTTGTAAGTTTGTTAAAACTCATGCCATTCCACAAGAGATGGGACTTAAAGAAAGTAAATGGGATTTTAATTAAAAGATCAACCAAATCCAACTAAAATTGCATGGAAACTCTGTTGGTTTAGTAACATAACATGTTCGATATTTATCTCGTGATTTCATGAATCCCAGAAAGGGGAAACTGTTATTGTAAACACTTGCCAATTAAGCAAAGTGAAAACAAATAAATTTGAATAATTATTACAAATAATTGCTTTTTATTTATGACTGTTTTCTTTATGCATTTTAACGTGGCGCAAATTAAATGTGTTGTGAGTTTTTTTTTGCACCAGCCGCTGGCTGTCGGAGCTGTCCGCTTTTTACCCGGGTTTTTCCTGACAGCGGAAACCGAACTGGACAAATGGAGATTGTGAATGGTTTTCCCATTTAGTTTTTCTGTTGGCGCTGGCATGATATAATATCTCATTGCTTGTACTTACAGTTAGCCCTGTCACAGAACCTAAATAGAGCTGGAACACTCTCGTTTTTATTCGTGTGTGTGGTAAGCATTTTCAATGGGTTTTATTTAGCCCAAAGCTGGCTGCAATAAGGTGGCTTAAAATGATGAAGTTAAGTGAAAGAACCGAATCGAATCGAACGGAACTGAACTGAACTGAATGAGCGCTGGTGTGGGCGGCATTTGTGGACTGTGGTTTCGATGTCGATGGTGCTGATAGTGGTGGTGGTGGTGGCGGTAGTGGTACTGGTGGTGATGGTGGGTGAGAGCGTCTGTTTTTGTCGTGCGGTTGTTCCGACCTAAGCCTTAAGTCTAGCCTAAGTTACAACTAAAACTTAGTTCATAAAATCGTGGCTTCGATTGCTTTCGCTTGGCTCGCTGGCAGTGGCATCGGTTGGCGGTGGAGAGAAAGCTAAAAGCAGGTTCTTGCTGTCGTTCGAAAAGATCGAAAATCAAAAGGGACCTCAAATAATAGGACGTATTTTTACATATTTTTGTACAGGTACTGGGAGTAGTATTTATAGTATTATATTTCAACAATACGAGTACACTGATATTGTTAACATATTTGGCTTGCTTAAGTTGTACAGGTTGCAGATATATATGTATATATTTGTAAAGACAATTTACAGATTCCACTGAAACAGACCCGACGAATCGGCGCAATTCGACTAAGTAATATATTTTACACCCATATACGCCCACACAGACACACCGAAGGACATGTATTATTAATGCAATTATTTAATAGGCCCAAATTACTGGATTAACTTTTGTAGACACACACACGCACGCACAATTAGAGCAAAGTGAGAGTAAGCGCTTGGGACTTAATCGTTTGTAACTGTAGCAGTTGAGTGGTCGTGTTCTTTAACTTTTTTGCAGTGCTTCAGCCGGGACTCACCATTTTGTAGTCGTCGATTTTGGAAATGGAGCGCAGGAACATGTTCACTCTCACCGTGGTGACATTATTATCTAAAATCAATCATCATATCAAAATCGGATCTATTCTCATTCCTTTTTCCGCCTTCATAACGCCGAATTGTTCTTAGACTAGTTATTATACTTACTAGCTAACTAAAATTGCTTTACATAAACTGGCTTAATTTGTACAATTTTGATGAATTTTCTGTGTGTATGAAATGTGTGTTTTCAAATCAAAATCAAAACAAAAAACTGATACAAAAGAAAACACATTTGCATGGGTGAAATTGGAAAATCGAATTAATGTGTAGAGAAAAATGTCTGCATGGATCTCATTGAAGAATGAAATTGGTTGTGGTTTTAGTTTTTTTCTGTTTCATACCTATGTTTTTGTGTCTATTAAAATCTATGAATGTATTTAGTTTTTTCTAATTGCATTTACTTGTTTCCCGTCCGTTCTGTGTATTATTTTTGTTATAGTGCTTTTTGAAAAATGCATGCCACACATTTTCAATTAGTTTTCCTTCTGTTGCCTGGAACGGATTTATTAAATTTTGCTTTCAAATCATAACGCATCGAGTAATTTCTTTGTCACCGGGTTAGAATAAAAGGACAATTTTAAACTTAACTTTGTTTGGAAGGTTTTCAGGGCAGAAAAAGGGGAGTTGGAAAAACAAAGGTTGGGGACACACATACAAAGCACACGATAAAACTTAACAGTTCACAGTTGAATTTATTTTATCACTAAGTACATAGAATAGCATAAATTAAACAACATCGTTTATTTCACAGATAAATTTTTGGTTAAAAAGCAAATGGCACAATTAAAAATAATTTTCATAATTATCAGACGAAGGCTAAATAGATGGCTTGCACCACTCATCACAGTTATAAATAATTAGTTAATTAATTAATAATTATTAGTAGAAATTTATAAATTTATACAGAAAGGTAGAGAGAGAGCGTAGTGAAGAAAATTAATCTAAGTTGGATTATTTTATGTTTTGAAAGAAAGGGATAGAGGCGATAGGCAGTGAGAGAGAGATAGAGACTGTGTGGGAAAGAGAGATCCAAAAAGACATTTTTTCACAATGTTTTGTAATTCGTTTGATTGACTACAAAACAGCAAACTCAATGGTTTATTTTACACTTTGTTAGAATGAGAGTAAAATATAATATAAATGCAGTGAGAAAATTCGAGTTACCAATGCAAACTAACAAACCAAAAACTCTAATTTTGAATGCAATCGAAAATTCGATAACTTAAAAATGAACCAATTAGTGAGTTTTGCTTTCGTTGTCTAAGAACCCAAACCGAAGGCAAATCTAAGGTAAATCAAATAACTCAAGTACGAAATCATACCACATCGATAGTCAAACAAGGTATTATGTGTTATAGATACCAATATCAGATAAAGTATAGTACGTTAGCATATATATATATAAATATATATTTAATATTTTCCATGTTTATACATATAGTTTTGTATCATTTCGAGTGTCTGGGTTGCTTTTCCCGACGCCTAACAGCAGTAACTCGAGTGGAGGAGCAGAACACAGCCTAACACAGAGATGGGTCAACATTTGGGGCATCCACTTGGGGTCAAGGGTCGGGGGGACCTGACTTTCTATCGGGTTTTTTAATTTTGGATTTGATAGTTTGCGGATGCGCCGACTTACCATGGTTACATCATCGATTTTCGATATACTCCTAACGAATATGTTGACGCGCACCACAGCGGGACCATCTGCAGGCGATACATGATAGATAGACATATTCACCGATTTGCACAATGTTTTCAATGTAATATACTACAAATTTTAACAGCTGCCGCAGGGTCCAAACCCCTAAAAACAAACTTAAAATGACCAGCGAAGGAGGCGAGGGGCACCTCCTTCCATATTCGGCAGTCCTTATGCCTTTATGTTGCTCTCTCTCTGTAATAAAGTTTTATTTTATAGCCTTCCTCCCGGTTGTTGTTTTCCTTTTTGCTTACTTGCTAGGATACAAAAGTTGCTAAGCAAGTTCGCTTCCAGTTTTGCTTACAAAGCTAAGCTAAGTCAAAGAATATTTTCTTCTCGATTTTTGTTTCGTTTTGTTTGCGTTTTTTATATACCTAAGTTAAGCTAGAATTTATGTACGTTACTAAAGTTGCGTTGTTTGTCTATGAGTTGTTTTTGTGACCTTCGAGGGTGGCTTATTGGGGGGGTTCTCTACGAATGGGTGGTGGGGGGAATTTGTTCGTATGTGTGGCATGAACGGAATACAACAGAATCTGTGTGATTTGCTCCCAAAATGCCGAGGGGCATCGTGGCTTGTGCTAATTGATATGCCTTAATAGTTAATATTTATCGAGCTGGCAAGTGTATGGATTGTATTCATTGGCTTATGTGTCGCTTTTAATGACCATTCCCAATCGGTGATTCAGGACTACAAATACGTGGATGTTATTGTGCCGAGCTATTCTCAAATATTTATGCGGCCGTTAAAAAATTAATAATGTCATTGCTGTGGTAAAAGTCAACATGACAACAACAAAATGAACTGCACACGAAATCAAAACTTTACTGGTAATTAAAATGGGAAAAATCGCTCGAAAAAACTGAACACTTGCAACAGGGAGCAATTGATGGTTTTAACTTGGGTGGCAATTCGATCGATTTTAAACAGCAAACACATGTACTTATTACATAAAAACACGTTAATTGACAGTTCGAAAGTCATATAACTTTGGAGCACTTGAACAGGTTTATTACCCAGGACGTATTTAAAATAAATATTATTTGATGGGATTTTAAAATGCAAAAAATATTTTTTTCACTAACTGATTTTAAACCTGATTATTGTTGGCTTGGTACTAATAACACAAAAGGGTAATGGAAAATCACAGGGATTGTTTCCAAAGTGCTAATTAAATTAGTATTAAATTAAAGAACCTGTTAAAAAAAAATAAAGGAAAAGCATCGATCGCAAGTAACTAAAAAAGTTTCGAATAGCCCACATAAGTAGGCAATGATTTTTTCCATTCCCAATAGGATGTGACTTTTATGAACCTAGCATGGGTATTTGCTTTTAATCTTTAATAAGACACAATAAACACAGCTTTGTTATAACAAAAGGAAACGGAAACGAAAACAGAAGTGTACAAAAAAGAGGAACAGGTATGAACTGCCGAAATGTGGCAAAAATCAAACGCAAATACTTAGCATCGGATGTACATATATTCGCATTATATATTTGGTATGTATCGAGAGAATTAGAGAACGAGTCAACGCAAAACGCAAAAACAAGTGTGTGTGTAGTAGTAGTTAGTGTGTGTGTGAGTTGCAAGGCTACCAAGACAACTTTCATGTTTTCTAATTTCTTGATGATGAGGCAGAGTGAGATAGCAAAAGACAGAGTGAGAGAATCTGAGCGAGGGTCTTGTGGGGGACAATCTATCGATTTCGAGTGCCGATATCGAATTTACTGGCTCCGATTGCAGGTGCGACTTACCATTTTAATATCACTAATCGTCATAATACTGCGTACGAATAGATTGATTCTGACTATGGCGGGACCATCTGGCATAAAGTTTGGTTTAAACGTGAGTTTTCGACGTAAATGTAAAACGGTTAACTTATTGAGCTGATCTAACTAGGCTAAATAATGCTTCGATCTGATTGGCACACTAAGCTAAGTTAGAGATGATTTGGTATTGGATTTCGTTTAACTTAAGCAAAGGCTTACATTAGCTAAAAGATCCATAATTTTGTTATACAGCTTTCCTACAGATAGCTTTCTCCAATATATTTACATATTGAAAACGAAAGGCCAACAAAATTATTCAAAACAAATAAAAGTTGAAACAAAAAGATTTACTAAAAATTATTTATGGTTCGGTTAAAATATTTAAAGGGTAGCTTGAATTTATGCTCACCTGTGCCATTTATTCCGGATGGTCGTATTCGGGCGTCGTATTTGCCTGCACCTAAAATTTGATCTAAGACTTTTTTCTCCTTTTCTCGGAAATTTATTTTGGCATTATTTGCTCTGAAATCAGGATACGGATAGGTACGCATGTATAATTTAAAAACGTTTGCTTCAGTTAATCGGGCAATTTGAATAATTAAATATTAAAATGGTATTGAAGTTTTGGAAAAAACATTAGCTGAGCAAATTGTTAGTAATCTTTTGTTCGAAAAATCGCATAAAAGAAAAGTTTTGCATAAATGTACAGCAAGTTATTGTTCTCTCTTTCAATAATAAATATGTACAAATTGATTAAGAGTGTGGAAAGTGCTCGTTTCATCGTTATCGTTGGTATTATACACTGTCGCACTTATCAAAAGCCAAGGCAAAGTCACATTCCTGCTGACTCTGACCTCGACTTGAGCGTAAATAATTCCAAAATTTATGCTCCGACAAAAAATTACACGAAAATTAATTACATTTTAATGAGGTGTCCTGGTGGAGTGTGTGTGATACAGGATATGGAAATTCAAGTGGATGAAGGCGGCTAAATGGTGGGCGTTTGTTTCTGAATCAGCAACAACTGAAAAGCAAACTACAGCTCACGAATACACTACTAGTTCAGCTTGAATTCACATTAACCAATATGTGTATACACAGAGAAAAATTTAGTCCCATATAAATTAATATGAGAAATGTCTTTCATAAAATATATTTAACTTTGAACTCTTAAAAAAATACAATTGTTCATATGAACAGATTTGGAATATTATTTGCACAAATTTAGTTTAATTTTATTAATTAAAGTTAAAACAGAAATTAATGCCTTAAGAGAGCTTACTTTTATGTAATTTTATTATGTTGTCTTGCAATATATTCTTGAATACTAGGCAAAAAGGCAAGGCTTTTCTCAGTGTATACACAGTTGCTTTTGGTTAAATGTATCGTCATCACTGCTTGGCATCGCGGGGCGTGGCTGGCCCAAATTAACGGCAATTGTATGTAAATCGCATTTTGAACGCCACTTGCCGACCAAGTACAGTGTGAAACACGCGAAACGAGAGCCGCGCGGCGAAATATTAAGCAAAAAATAAGTAAAGTGTAAAACGAATGGAAAGTGGAGCGGGAGACAAATTATGAAGCGATTTACATTTTGCAGCTACTGTTTGCGAGTGTCGTGTGCTTGTCTGAGTGCAGTGAAGCCGGGAAAGCGAGTACTTACAGTGAAGCACTGCACAGGCTGGCAAAGTATAGGATCGCCCAGAAATAATGTCCGCTGCCCATGTTGGGGGTGGTGGTGTGGTGTGCCGTGCGTCCTGCTTCCTGGATGGGGGGCGTGGCAGCCTCCTGTGGTGGGCGACCTGGAATGCAAAATATTAAGCAATTAGCACTGAAGCCTAAATTGAAACTGAAACTGATTGGATGATCACATCGATAGCATCGCCGCAAAATCAAAGTGTCCATTGAATAATTTCGAGCTTGCCAAAATTCCTCTGATTTAACCGACTCTCAGGTCTTGGGCGACGTGTTAAATTGAATTGGCCATCGAATTAGGCCAATTAACATGCCATTTGGCTGTCTGTGCCGGTGCATCAAATGCAACAATCTCAATCTATGCAACACACCACACACCTCGTCCATTTCGGCCTTTGTCGGTGTGCTAATGCATTTTGCGTATGCAAAATGTGGCCATAAATGCAATTAATTCTGCAATACTCTCGTGCCAAGGCGGGAAATTGAAAATTTAAAAGGTCTTGACACCGTAATGCTGCTTTAATCTGTTGCCCAGGGAATCCATTATGCTGGCTCGCATTCATGAAAAATGCAAATTGCAATCGCAGCTCAACACATTCAGCCGACTATAAAAGACTATGCCAAGGAATTTTTTAAAGCTGGATATCAATTACAAATGCTCTTTCAGGGAAAAAAGTAAGTGTTGTTATTTAAAGATGTTTGTAATTATATATGCGATATACAAAGGAACTTAATAAATGGGATGCAAATGCATTTGCTTAACTAAACTCAAACATGCATTTTAATTCATTACATTAATTATAAAGCTGTAGTATGAAAATTTTCTCCAATTAAGAATTTCACCTTTGTTGGTTTAATTAAGTTCCTGAAGACCCCGGCTTTCTACGGCTTAAGCATGTGTATTTATTAATTGGCCCTCTTAATACCAAAATCTCTGTTTTGCAGGATGCCCCAAACAATGCAAATTGCCTTTCGATACCCTGAAAATGGCACTCTTCGCTCTTCTCGCTTTCATTTTGCAACAATCATTATGGTCAGGGCATTTAAAACAATGCCAACAATGACCGGCAATATCCCCGATATATGTACATATCTGCTGACCAGCTTTCAGTCGGCCGGAGATGCAAAATGCCGAGTTCAGAGAACAGAATACAGAATACAGAATACAGACTACAGAATGCCGAATGCGAAATGCGTTTGCGTATGCGAATATTGGAATCGAATTAATCCTTTATAAGCATTTTTCTCCACTCCAACGGACGACGTGCTGTGCATGGGCGATAAGTGCGTTGTGGTGACCAAATGCCACGCCCACAACTGACGCCCAAGGAAGAACACACATACTAGCACCCAGCACACTCACTAGCACACACACAGCCACCCAGCAACCAACGCACACACGCACTCTGCGGCACATTGGCGTGGCCATGACCGAGTGGGGCTTTCACAGTTGTTGCTGCCGCCAGAACCCCATGCAAATAATCAATTGGTCGAAATTGGAATGGGCTCTCAGAATGGCAATGGGTTCTCGGTGCGGATTGGCAACAGGCTGCCCCGCTCGAAATTTGCATTCGTGCTGTGTTAATTTGCCGCTGCTGCGCCTGCAATTTTGTGCCATAAATACATGCACCCAGTTGCTGCAGCTGCAACATCGCCGCTGAGTTGAGGACATGCACCCAGGCGGTCCTGGTATCCTCCTTCTCCCTTCTTTCTCCTTTCTCCTCCCCCCTCTTTCCTCTTTTCCCCATTTTGTTTTTTGGCCCGCTGTCAAAGAAAGTTAACAATGCGACTGCGACTGCCAAATGTCCCACATTTGCAGCTTGCCAAGCGGTTGGCGCCAATCCCCAGCCCAAAAGATCCCCCCTCTTCACCCCTTTGCCTCCGCTTTTCCTCCCCCTTTGCCTACCCCTTGGACAAGAAAAAAAAAAGGACTGCCGACTGTGTGTGTGGTGTAAATGGGTTTACTTTTATTTCATTTGTTTGTGCGTGAGTGTGTGCATGTGTATGTGTATGTTTGTGACGAGTCGACACACTTTTGAGCTTGGCAATGTTTTTACTGTTCGCCACCGACAATAAAAACAACAACACTTGTGCGCTTGTCTACCTCAGCGCCAGCTTTTTGAGCTGTTTTGGCCGCTTGTTGTTGCCAAGCTGCGAGTTGAATGAACGTGCAAACTGGGAAAAATAGAGATTGAGAAGGCCGAAGACGGTAGTTTTGTTAAATTTGAGATTGCGGAATCTCCACCTTGTTGGTGGTGATTTGCGGTTTATTTTATATTCCAATCATTTTTTTTATATAGCAAGGATTGCTTTGGATTTGGAATCAAAATGAACAAAACTTAATCAACTTATCTATTTTGATTAGCACATAATATCTTGTTGGCTCGCTAAGTGCGTATTACTTACTAAAAAATTTGGTAATTTGTTTATATCTTTATAAAATTATATAAAAATGAATATAAATGTTTGTATGCAAGCATGGACTTAATTTAAGAAACTCGTCAACTGAACGACTTTAATTCGTTTTAGCAAAATGTACCCAATCTTAAAAAGGTAATTTATAGATCCTTAGAACTATTTATAATCTTTTGGTTGTGTCCTTTAGCTGGGTACTTGAACGGGCTTTAATCTGATAAACGTAGTTAGATATATATTTTAAATCTTTTTAGATTCATAGATACTTTGGTATTAATTCTAAGAGAATTTGTAGACAGCTCGTCGAACCGAGCACATTTAAATTCCAGTTGGCACTTGAAAAAGATTTTTCCGAAAGCTGATTTATGAGGCTTAGAGTCGGCTCTTGACCTATGGCTTTTTGCTGATCCCCAGCAGCATTATTTTTTGCAGTGTCCTGGCCAAAAGAGCGTGCTGTATGTATGCAATCTCAACGCACACACACAAACGCAGGCCGTACAATCACATCCCGCACATAGTCGTATATATTTTTTGCGTTTTATGCCGCTCAGCGGCGCTTGTAGCTCGTTATGTTGATTGGATTTTCTGCCGCCCGCACCAGAAAGTAGTCCACACACACACACACATCCAAACACATACACACCAACACATATGAGCGCCCCACGGATACACACGCACACTATTAAGGCACTTGCGATGGCTGCTGAATAAAGTCAAGTGTTGTATGTGATGCTGTGTGCGCCTGTGTGTGTGGGTGTGGGTGTATGCGTGAGTAATAAAGCTGGATTCATTTTGTTGTTGTTTTATTTGCTGCCCTTACGCTTTGCTCCTCGTTTTATGTATGCAAAAAATTTTACACTCTCGTTTTCGCCATATGATTTTGTTTCTCTCTTCCTGTCTCTCGTTCGCTTTATTTTTCTGCTAAATTGTAAGTAAGTGGGCTTAGTAGCATTTTGCCATTTAGGACTCTTTCGCTCGTGTATGTGTGTGTGTGTGAGTGCGTGTGAGTGATATTCTGCAGCCAGGATTTGAATAAAGCTCACCTCCGACGGGCGCCTTAACTTTAACATTTAGGAGACAGTTTGATAAACATTGAAATCACTGTGGTTATTTGTGTGAGTTCGGCAACAGCTGATGACACGTTTGGGCGCCCGAAATGAAACGCTGGATAAACAAAACGGGGAGCTGGCTCGAAAGGTCAAAGTGCGTTGCAGACGTGAGTGGCTCGAACAGATTGCGAAAGCTTACCAACTACATTGGATGTGATTCATAGCTAACAAGCAAGTCCCTTCGCATCCCCTTTCAAGCCAAAGTAATCTCAAAATCGATGAGGGAATTTAAGGAATATTCTAAATAGTAAAAAGGTTCCTTAAGGTTAGTACACTTAAAGATTTAAAAGATTTGCTAAAGAAAGTTACATGTACTAGCTGAAATATTTAAGAAGGGTGTTAAACGTGTTTTTATTCAAGAACATTAAGAAAGTTATAAGAATTAATACAATTATAGTATCTGTTAAACATGGAAAAAAATGTGAACTGATAAAGCAGCATATTTACCAAACATTTTTAATCAAAACATTATTGATGAAAGTGTTTCAAATTTCTAACGATAACTAAACTTAACTATTAACAGAACTTTGTTATGACAATAAATTCTAGTTAGCGGGCTTCGCTATATTATTTTCCACACCAAACTTTGGTATATGGCTGTCAGGCAGAACTTTGTCAAACTTTCCGCTCGCATCTCGCAAATGTCAGGCCAGGATTTCATATCACTCAGCTGACAGGACCAAAAGGTCACAGCTTGCGTCCAGTCGCCACCCCCTTTCCCCGCCCCCACACGCTCACTCATAATTAATTGAAATGTCAATACATTGTTTGTGCGACCCAGCAAAATATTAATGAAAGCCGACGAGAATTCCTGGAAGGGGGAGGTGAGGGGGTGGGGATTAGAGGGGCTGAGGGATCAAATGTGTGCGCCCTATTATTAGCCCCAAAAGAGGCGGAATCATCTATCAAACGTGGTCCTGCATGTCTGCTCTATTTATAGGATGTTAGGGTGGTGAAATCTGAACTTTAACTGGAAATTAACTCGCATGAAAATTGCCCAATAATTTGCCGGATTTATTGCCGCCAACAAATTGCCGTTACATGGTCTTTGCCGCTTTCACCTAGTCTCGAATGGGTCAATAAACTAAACAGCACCCCGAAGGCGATAAAATTGATGGACAAAGGCGTTGTGGGGGGCGATGGGGAAATAGGAGTCGCGAGATAAGCGCGATTAGAAGTTCGTACCCCTGTCTGTCTGTTCGGGATCCTGTTAAAAATGCACACGCACGCATCCCCACACCACCTAAAGCAGAAGTAAGGACCCTGACTGAGACATCGCTGGTCGAGGTCAGGGACATCGACGAGGTCACGACAGAAGAGGAATTACTGGAGGCATTGATAACCCAGTTTGGTGAAATCCAAGTCACCAGGTCCTCTATAGTTTCATACAGGAAGGCATACGGCGGCACACAGACCGCGTCACTTAAACTCCCAGCAGACACGGTGAACAAACTGGTGGAGGCGGGAAAAGTTCGGGTGGGCTGGGTGATATGCCGCATAAGGAGAAAAGTGCAGCCAACTCGCTGCTACAAGTGCATGGATTACGGTCACATGGCTAGCAGATGTCCCGAACAGGCCAACTG